GCTCGCCGGCCACTCAAGTTAATTCAATGCGAAAGTCTCACACATTGCCATAAAAACAACAAGTAAGTACTCGAGGCTTAAAGTCCTTGCAGGAGCAGAAATGGGAGTAGTTCAGGAACAGGAACAGTAACAGTAACCAGAGAAGGAGGAGCTGGGGAGGGGCAGTAACTAGGACTGGAAGTGGATGTGGATGTGGAGCATCTGCTGGCCGGAAGTGCCTGCCACTTGTGTATATGTCGCGTGCTGCATTCGTTGTTGCCGCTCATGTAGTCGCACTCGTTCTTGTTGCTCTTGCCACTTTTTATTGTCCTCATAATTTGTTAGAGTTAGGACAGCAGCAACTTGACACTGACAGCCGGCGTTGAAGAGGACCACACACAGCCAGAAATTAATGACTACCAATGGGTTTTAATTCGGACTCTCATTGGTTTGCAAATTATTGGACTGCAGAAAAATTTCTCCGAATTTAGATTACCATCATTAAAACTATTTATAAATTTTTAGATAATAAAATATGCTTGTAAAATATTTTGATAACAAAATTAAGTAAATAAAAAATGTACAAACAAAAAGGTAACATATTATAATATTTAATTCTCTAATTTTAGACACCTTTAATATTTTATTTAGCGCCCAAACTGCTATGATTTCCTTCTCTGTGCATTTAGCCCTGACTGCCTGCCCAGTTTGCCATTTCCCAAAACTCCAACCAACAGTGTTACCTAATTGCCTCTCAACTGGGCCAACAATCAGACATTGATTGGTTGATCCACTAAACCGGCAAAAGCCCAATCCAGTCCCAAACGCAACTCAATCAGCAATTAGTCTGTTGGCAAAATCCCGAGTTCATAATTCAAAATTGGCACATGCAAATGCCCAAATGCATCCGCACTAATTGAAATTTATGGCGCTGCGGTTGAGTGGTGAGTAAAGTTTTTCCACTGCCAACTCTGCGCATCAGGTCGCATTAGAATCGTCCAGCGAATTTCGCAATTTGCAATTTACAATTTGCGGCACCAAGGACCCCAGAAAATGATACTACAGCTGATGATGATGAAGCGGACACGCCCGGGCCATAATGCCCATCGTGGAGCCATAGATTAGCGACCAAGAGCACGACTTCCGCCAGTTAACGAGCTGCAGACCGTTGACAGGATGAATTAACGATTGTCCAGCTCTCCAATTGACCAACCCAGAAACTGACCATCCTTTTGGCGCTGGCATGTAAGTACACATGGAAAGCCTTGCCCATTATCATTTATCGATTTATGGAAAATTGAATACAAAGGAACAATATATTTAATTTCTTATTTATGCCAAAGTATACTTAAAAGAAATATTGCAAGGCCGAAAACAAAATGATTTTATATTTGTTTAACATTTATAGGTACAGATTACTTTTAAAAATCATTTTTATAATTCTAACTTTTGTCTTTACAATAAATAAGATTTTTGAAAATTAAAATAATTATCAAATGTTCATAGTTTTAGCTTATGTCTAACACCTAAAAAAGTCCAAATTAACCCAGAGCACTAAACTAAATCTCCTTTTTATTTCCATCCTATTATTGTATTATTATTATATTTTTTCCATATTCTCCAGCACTTGTCCTAGTCCTTTTTTCAGTTCACCCCACTTTATCTTTCGCTTAGCCAATCCTGGTTTAATTCGCAGCTGATGTCCATTTGTTTATGCATTGATAAAAGGGAATGCTCACATGGCAGGACTCACTCACACTCACACTCGCATAGCACGTATAAACACAAACATAGCATACATTTCTGCTGCTGCCATTTTCGCGTGGCCTTTGCATATTAAGTTTATGTTTTATCGTTTATTGCGCACACTGACACAAGCATAAACGTATATTGCCCACATAATTTAACAAACATTTTCATTTATATGCGCATTTGACTGTGTTTGTGTGGGCTTTTCTGTGTGCGGATGTGTAACATTTATGACCCCTGGGTGGTCAAGAAAGGCGCACAGAAAACAATTGGAACAAAGATAATTTAAATATTAAATATTTACTTACAGTGGTGTTATTTACTAAATGTATAGTTAAATCCCTCTATTTTAAAATTACCCTATTATTGTATTATATTTAACCACATTTGATAATAAAATACACAATATAATACAATACAATAAAATTCCTCTAGAATATATTTCTAATAAATTAAAATGAATAAAATTTATTACGCCTCTTTTTTTTATTTCCTTGTGTAATTCGTATACTGATATATTTATTTTTCCTGTGCAGGACCCACGCACAGTGGGGCGCCTAGAACAAAAAACCTGCCAAAATGGTTTTTTTTTTTTAAGATTTCCCAAAATGTTGCAATGCAACTTCAAAAACAATTGAATTCTCTATACACATCAAAAGGAAAGAGTGATCTGTGTTAAATGGTTCTCCCACTACAGATTTATAAAGTGGATTTTTCGAAATATAATTTTAGCCAATAAGAAAAAAAGGTATTTTTACACATCTTTGAAATTTTTCTGAAAGCGCCCAAGGGCCTAAGTCGTATATGTAACGATTGAAATTTTAAGAGCAACCAATTCTTAAAATATTAAAAAAAAAAAAAAAATTTTAGATACATAATTACTATTTTTTTTTAATTTTTTAAAAGTGGTCCAAAAAAAAAGGGATTTTTTGGATATCCTTGGACGTAAAGTAGTGTTACACCCTAGATCCCCGTTTAATTCTTTTTTTTAAAAAAAAGTTTAGATATTTAACTACATATTCTGAAAAAATTAGCCTGCCCTTTTGTGCCTCTTCTGAGAAAACCGCAGTTTAAGTTAGCAAGAAATGTTCATAATTTGAAATATCGTCAGCCCTGGTTCATTCGCGCGCCCTAACATCATGAAGATATTTTACTTATGTGAAGGTATTGATGAAGATAATGATAAATTAATAAACAAATTTGGGTTTAAAATTTTAAATTATGTTATTTTACTAAAAATACATATATGAAGTAAATACCGGTTTCTACCAGTTTTTTTTTGAAAATATGCTATATTTCCTTGATTGATTCTATGACATCTATAAGATATCATTGACCAATTAAAAAAAAGGTAAGCATAGAGCTAAAATGATAAATAATGACTTAATCCCAATTTATATGAACCAATATTGAAATAGAACCGAGACATTCCCCTTTGTAATAAGCGTTTATATGGCAGCTATAAGATATAGTTGACCGATTTGAATAATTTTTTTTTCAAAAATCAATTTAATTTAAAAAAAATATATTGGGAAACTTAGAACCCTATAAGTAATTTATTTATATTTTTTTTCTTAAAAAAACAATTTATTTTTTCTTAAAAATTTTCTACAACAAAAAAATTTCACTAAAAAAATTCACCTTATGATGTTTTTTTACATATTTAATTGCCTTCAACAATGCCCCATCAAAAGATATTCGATATAGGGCTCCGCTGATTTAAGGCAGACTTTTGGCTTTTTCGCCCCACTGTGCCACGGCATAAAGGCAGTACCAGATGGCCAGCGAACTTGGGGGCACATGTCCACCAATGAGGCGTACTTAATGATTATAGCATTTGTTATTTTTATTTATTTATATTTATTTATCTGCCCGGATGTCTTGGCCGTGGGCACTCGCCTTTGTTTTGGCCATTATTTTTATGGCTCAGCAGGCCGACTTCCCCCGGGTGGCCATCGAACTGCCGTTGACCACTCCATTTATGTTTTGTTTTCGTGGGCTTACTCGTGAATATTTGCTCTGGATAAGCCGCTTAGCCCGGGAGCATCGGCATTTATTGCCGTCAACTAATGTCTTGCAGCTATTTGTTGGACATTTAAGCCTGGCCCAATGGCGATGAGCACACTTAGGGATTTGTTTTCGGAGGCGAACAATGAACTCCACGGCTCCCAACGCCAGTGACCTCTTTTCGGCCAACTGAAGCTTATAAATGCCCAGAACAAATGAGCAAAAATTGCACATCCGCACGGGCATCAAAAGGATAATGCGGAAATGCAGGAGACAGTTTGGACTTGGAGTCCAGTCGCCATCTTGGTGGGGCACTCAAAATAAATTTCCAGCAAAAAGCACAAGTAAGTTCCGAAATCCCGCCCATCGTCACTCCCCATGAAAATACTTGATGACAGTTGCAGCAATTTTTCGGTTATGGGGTCTCTGTGTCTTTTGCCATCCGGGATATCATTTAATGTTTTGTGTCTGCTGGGGGTTTTTCTCTATTTTGTGCAACCGAAATTGGCTTAAACTGTTGCGAGTTCATAAAACAAACAACCAAATTTGAAAAGTTGCAAGTGCCAGCCGCAGTCGGAAACTTTGAACTTGAAATTTACGTTAGTTAAATTATGAACTTTTATCAACTCTAGCGTCTGGCCAAAAAACTTTCATCACAAAACGAAGTTTGGTTCTCTTTTGCAAGGTCTTTACCGCGGCTGCTGAGTAAGCGGATTCTCTATTTATAAACCTGTGCAAAATAAACAATTCTGAATTGTTAAAAAAATTTAATTTAATAATAAGTGAAACTTAAATAAACAAATCACTTTAAAACAAATTCTAAACCTAGAGAATAATTTAGGATTTTATTCCATTTGTTGTGTTTTTTCCTTCGAGGACATAACATCTTATAAAAATGGGTGCCATAATTCGCCGAATCCCACGGACTTGGTAATTCCTTCCCACCCTCGCCAGTAATAAGCGTCATGTGTGTAATTTTGGCTTAAGAAGGCCAACAAAGTAGCCACAGAGACTCGTGGCCGTGTTGAGCGGTTTAAATGTGAAACATTGTCATCCTGGCTTCCGTTTATTGGATTTACCCATACTCACCGAGAATGAGAAAAAATTATGGCCGGCAGCCAGCGACTTTGGTTCACACTTAAGCCGCTTAGCCAGCGTAAAGCCAACTACAAATTACAACTTATTATACAAGTTGAATCAACGTCAGGCTATTTGTGGTTGGCTGAAAATGAAGATCCATTTTTTATAAGCAGGAAACTGGCGCATAAGTTGGCTAATTTGTACACGAGCTCGTATGTTGCCGTTCTTTTTTATTCATTTACAAACTTATTCCTGGCTTCATTCATGTTGCATTAAACTAGACTTTAAAAGTAATGAATACATAACAAAACAATTTATAAATTTCACAAATGAGTTTAGAAATGTGTGATTCTGTGTTTCTTGTTATTGCCAATTATTTCAGACTAAACAGCGATCGTGGGATAGTGGGAATGGATGGCGGGGTTATTTTTGGATTAAGCGGGGTCTATAAATACTTCCCAAGCGATACTGAATCCACGAAGACTACTTTAGAGTAAACTAGATTAAATATGCACACGCATACGGATGTGTAACTATATTTGTATATAAATATAGAGGCTGTGTCGTTACTTCTATTCCTGATTCAGGTTCTTGATCACGTAATTAACAATGAGGGCAAATATCGCAAAGCAGATGATGATCACCAGGTTTGAATAAACGGACTGCCAGTTTAGATAGGAATTCCGTGCACTGTTCTGCAGTGCCGACGCTCCGCCGCCACTGGTCAAATCCGCCTGACCCCCCGCCGCCCCATCGATGGCATCCGCCGCATTTTGAGGATTGCCCAACCCTCCCGCCGCCAGATTGCCGTCCGCCGATCCCGAGACCGCTCCATTGGCCAGCCCGTTGGAGCGCTTCGCACCGCTCGAAGTCGATGCACTTCCGCCCGCTGCAGCCGCCGCCTGGGTGCCCTGCAATCGCAGCTTGATCTCATCGACCACCTCGGGAAACAGCTCACAGAAGTTGGTGTTGCGCAGGTTAAATGCTAGCGATTTTTGAGCAAACATTTGCTTATCATAGTTCGACGACTCGATGGATCCCAGTGTGGGTGTGCTCTCCAGCTGGGGGAGAAGTGCGTTTTTAATACATTTATGTGTGATTATGTATTTGCAATGGAATTTACCATGAAGCTCAGAAGTCCAGTGAGAATAGTGCCCACACACCAAGTGGGGTTCCATGTGTCCGGATGAAAGTCTGAAAAGTAATAAAAAGAGTAAATTAACATTTTTCAGTAAGTTTATACTACTTAATAAGTTTCTCAAAATATGGGTTTATTTTCCTCAGCCCAATTTTAGTTTAGTATTGCTACTATTTAAAAACATATCTTAGAAATTGTTGAGCACAATAATTTGATTAACCAATTGAATATTTAAGTTATTCGTATATAAAACCTTATAAATCAGATAAAAGCACGATCATGATTAACGGAAAGAAGTGATACCAAGGAAATTTAAAAGCCGTTGCAAGTGTATTACAGATAAGATAAGAATTCATTATTGTTTAAATGTGTTATCTAAGAATTGTGGGTCGCCGGAAGAGCATGTGTGATGTATTTAAAATGTAATATTATTTTGCCGGCATCTATTAATCGTTTATCCTCTCTCTACTTGATAGAATCCATTAAATATTTGTATATATCTGAAATATACTGGGATTATTGATACGAAACCTCGTTGTGAGCTTAATTAATGCATCTACATATCTGACATGGTGTTTTAATCATATTTAATGATTTATTGTTGATTTCCTTGTGAGATCTTGTAAGTCCTACTTCTATTTAATCTAGCGGTCGGCACACACGTACAATGATATTTTGTTTAATATTTGTATGAGTAAATTCCACTGGGCAGATCATCAGTGTGTGAGAGGCAGAGGATGGGCAGAACAATTCCCTATGCTCACTTAATAGAACGCTGCCGACCGCTGATTTAATCCGTGGAACTTCCGCTTATGATTATGAAACTTTTTCGCTGATTTCTATTAAATCCCCTAGCAATATCCTCATACCTGATATGCTCAAGCACAGCCTGGTGTTGGTCTTGAAGCGTCCGTTCGGCGTCAGCATGTAGATGGAGGGCGGCTTAAAGGGGAACTCGCGCGGGAAGAGCAGGGTGCCGTGGTAGTAGCCGCCGTAGTAGGGCGAGTCCTCCGGCCCCTTGACGCAGTAGTGCCACTCGAGGATGTTGTTGGGCAGCGGCTCGGCGGTGATGTAGGGCAAGGGGTCCCGCTTGAGGCGCATATAGTCCTGCTTCATGCGCGACACGGCAGTGGGCTGCTTCCGACCGCCGGACGCCGACGACGAGGACATATTTTTTTGGTTTCTTTAATTTTTGTCTACTAAATCCCGAGCGCCCAAAGGGGGAACTAAAAAGTTGGTCCGGAAATTTCGGGGGCGACGATCGAACACGACTGGCCTACTGCGTTTTTTCTCTCGGTGCAGCCGTAGATAAGCGATAGCGACGTGGCCCTGCAAAGTAATTTGCAAATCAATTAAGTTCCCATGGCTATAACATCTGGGTGTATTATATATATGTGTATATAGCATATGTAGATATGAACACGTACCGTCCTTCTCCAGAATTTCGGTCCTATCGAGGGTTCTCTTTCGATTTGTTTATCAGACTCCCTGTGCAATTTCCAGTTTCTCCAACGCGATTGTTTATTGTTTGCTTTTCTAGTATATGCAAACAACCTCGGAAATAAATGCGTTTCCTAATTGTTGTTGCTGCTGTTACTGCGCTTTTGTTGATTTTTTTAAATTGCAGCGAAATTGTGTGAGAAAACAACGCACACACACAGGCGCAGACGTACCCACATCCGCACAATCAGACACACACACACGTGCAGGTAGATAATTAAGGCTGGAATTAGATGTGTTTGATGTATCTACGGGCTTAATCCGATGCAGTGGGCTGGCCTTAATCCGTTTTAATCGCTCGTTAGCTTGTTGTTATAGGTTCGCCACCGCTTGCAAGGTGTTAAATTGCTATTTCGATGGTAAAAAAAATTGATAAATTTAGTGCTACCAGATGTTGAAAGTGGTTTCATCCCAAAACAGTGTTACCAGAAAGTCAAAACATTTTTTGGCACTAGGACGACATTTCATGTAATATTTGAATATGGTTAGTTCCACTGTGCAATGTAAAAAAACATGTGTAAAGTTTACCTAGTTGGTTTTGCTGATGGATAAATTTAACTACCTTCGAAATATGATTAACACTATATTTCCTAATTAGCCATCTGAATATTTATTAAACAAACAGGAGTCGCCCACTTTATAACCACAACCACAGGGCTCAAAGACATGAACCACAATGTAAAAAGGCCATCTAAGACATCAACCATGTAAGTAAAGTGTAAATACCAGTGTTAACCTTTGTTAGGCTAAGAGCCTAGCAAAAAGCATATCGAAAAACATCGCTAAAATTCTAACTAAACTAAATAATAACTAATTTTAACAATAAACCTTAGAAAAACACTATTATTATTTTTTGACAATATTTTGTTTTTTATAGGTATTTTTTGACGTAAGCCATATGTAATTGCATAAACCAATTTTTTTGTAGTTTTAAAAAGGACTTTCGTCTGTATGTAAATCGTGGCTTAGCTTTTTTCTAGACTTTTTCCAGCTAACGGGAATCAGCTGTTAGCATCACTGATGGGCGTCAGCTGTTTCTGCTGTTTGGTTCCCGCCCGCGATTGACAATTTCTTGTGTTTCCCTGTTGTGTTTCAGTTCGAGTTTTAGCCTGGCCTTTTGAACGCGGAACAATGGGCAGCACGACAAAGTTTGTAAACGAATTCTGTGATATTATCGATTCCTATGGCGGTCGCGATAAGGTAATAAAAACACAGCCCATTCTGCCAAGTAAATTTCCAAATAATTGGTCGCACACCTGTTTATTTACCTTTCCCACTTAGTGTTTTTCCTAAATTATGCTCAAATTTAAAAATTGCATCGTGGCATATTGACTGGTTTTAATGAAGTGGTCCACAGAGGGGCTCGGTTGAAATCGAAAGTCAATCAACAGGTTTTCTCGGTGTTGTTGCGCATTGGTGCTGGCATTGGTCTGGGGGTCTTGAACAAGGAAGCTTCGACCGTTTGGACCTTGCCTTACTTCTTTCGCATACGCAATGGATTATTTCGCTTCTTGCTTATCAGTCGCGGGTTGGCGGCGATCGAGTCAAGATAATGCTCAATACTATAGCCGGCAAACCCTTAACCCGTTGCCAGATAAAGAGGATAATACGTTATGAACGAAAGGTTTGTTTGGAATACCACCCAAAAACACGCGATTCACCTAGTAACACCCATTTTTTTTTGTTCTCTTATGGGGGTTTTCAAAAGTTGATGAGGTTTTAGGGTATAAAAAGGAGAAATATTAAATCCCATGAAGATCGTCCCAGTTTAGAAGCTACTTTACCGTAATTCAATAAACGGCGCTTGCAGATAGAATGTTTGAACTAATGTTTAAGGACTAATAAAATTAAAGATTAGAATCTGAAAAAAATTTATCATAAAATTAGTTTTCATATATACAACCGGAATTTTTTAATTTTGGACATACTTGATCAGTTTTAGAATTTTAATGTTTTTAAATTGTTTGTTTTTAGCTCTACGGATTTTTCTTGTACCGATATCAAAAATTAACCCAGTTTCGTCTCTATTTTATGAATATAGAAAATATCTTTAAATTTATAAACCCGAATTCTTAATAACTGAAAGGGTATTTTAACTTCTTCTATCTTAAGTTAGTATACCTCCTCATTGCATTTAAAATTCATTGATGGCAAAGCAAGCAAATTGAAGTATTAATGGGTAAACAACGAAACCACCCTTTACCCATCCTGGCAATAGGACCACCAGGAGCACTCCACCGACAGCCATTCAACGAGATGATTGTAGCGTTCGTTGTGTTCTTTTTATCGCTGATAGTATTTTATCTGTTTGTCACAACCAAGCAATTCCACAAATTGCAGGGCTGAATGACGATTGGGGTCAGGTAAAGGCAAACAGAGATGCAAACTCTCGTGATAAAACAAACACTTGGCTCAAGAAAATGCGCAAAACCTGTATAAATTACGGAAAAATGTAAATATGAAATTTAATACCCGATTTTTCATTTTTTCCTCAGGTGATGAAGGCACTGTGCTACAGTGCCAAACTGGTGGCTGGCTACCATGCCAAACGGAATCCGGATCTTGCCAAAAGATATGCAACCGCCAGTTCAAAAATCTCGGGTGCGAGAGCCACCCTGCGCCTCATCGACGATATTCCCATGATCCAATACGCTTTGGAGTATGGCTTGGGCGAGAACGAACCCGATCGCGTAATGGCAGTGCTGGGGGTTACGGCCAACATCGTGGATCTTCTATATTATCCCATCGAAAAGGTCTGCTGGCTGGCCGAGCACAAGATTGTGGATGTCAAGAATGCGGATAGTTGGGACAATGTGAACTCCATATTCTGGGTACTCTCGGTGTACCTAAACCTTATGAGGTAAGAGATCAAAGATATTGGTTTTATCATTTAATCAAATTTTTAAATTTTATTTCAGAACAATGAGGAACTTTTCTTTAAACCAGGACAAACTGAATCGCACCAATAATATTAACGAGTGAGTTGTGAAGTATACTTAAGATACTGTCCAACTAACAAACCTTCTAATCTTACAGTTTGGATGTCAAAACCATGACCAAGCACCGCCTGGAGATGGTGTCCATCGTTCGCATCTCCCTCGACTTTGTGCACGCCGTCAGTACGCTGCCCAAGGGATATTTGTGGGGCGGCAAGCTGTCCACCCTCCAGGTGGGGGCTATTGGCACCTTGTCCGCCGGTCTAGGCATCTACCAGATCTTTGCCAAGAGAAGACTGAACAAGTAGTCGCGCAGCGTTTGCAATCTATGTACTCGTATTTGTTGATCAGAATTTTTAAGCTAGTCGGTAACCGTTTTTGTACGTTGCATTTTTTGTACGGCACTCGCAAGTGTTTAGCCATTAAGTCCTCTAAAGAAGCACAAAATACACGCTGAATAATGATAAAAACAAGGAGGAGTTTTTGGTCTGTGTGTCCTTTATTATCTGTTACTTCTTTTATTGTATTCTGTTAGATTCCGATACATGTAGTTCAGTTTATGTCTTGATCCATCCCTTCGTAGCCATCAGAATGTTTAACTTAATGTACAGGCTCCCTCCCGCTCCCATATATTGTCAGCCCTCTGGCGAGGGTACTTTACCAGAGTTATTCATATTATTCTTGTTGTTCACGCGAACGATTTGTCGGTTTAGCAGTCATTGTATACAATGTTTCTTAGGCATATTTAAAATACTCATATGTCTGATATTATACTTGTTATGCATGGTTTCAGTTTAAATATTTGGATTTATAGATTACATGAGGGAGCTGTGATCAGCTGATCTGACCTTTGGTTTTGGTTAAAAATAACATTCGTTAGTAAATATATTTCCATTGTACATAATTTATTTGCTTGTTTGTGCCGCAAGCGCGTAAATATTAACAGTTACTAGTTATTATCTTTTTTTTAGTTTGCTCTGCTTGACTGCTTCCATAGCACACTGGGCCAGAAAGTTAATTTTTTGGCCAAAAATCTGTAATTTCTTTCCTAGGACAGTTAGAAGGATGCAGTTTTTTGCGATTTTTTCTTAAAAGATTCAACTTTCCAACGAACTAAAAGTAAAATTTCTTGGAATTTTATATGATATAGATAATCCAGACCAAAGACGGAAAATTTTACGTACTTTTCGGTTTTTTATTTTTAAAAAAATAACTAGAAGACGCACTTCTTCCATTTTCGAAAACAATAAAGTATGAGATAAAGAAACTAAAAAAAATTAACATCACTAAAAAATATTATGTCATTTAAGATTTATGAACCGTTAAAAAGTGCAACTTTCGGAGGCTCCCACATCAACGTTTATCAAACAATCGATTTAAAAAAAATTTTTATTTTTTTGTTCGTGTTACCTTTTAAGTTTTATATAATCAAATTATGTAAAAAAAATTGTTTAAAAATATTGTTTTTTGATTTGTTTAATGTTAATTTGACATATTCTGAAGTCATCACAAAAGTATGCTACATTTTTATTTGCATAGTCCTGATTAAATAGATAGATATAGGTTTGGAAAATACCATAATCGATTAGTGTACGTAAAAAGTAGATTTTAGATGTTAGTCACACTAAAATCAAATTTTTGAGCGCAAAATGTTCACCAAAACCTGAAGAAATAAAGTATGGCATACTCTTGGGCTCTCTTAGCTAAGCTCTTCAAAATAGCTCGACTTCGAGTTAAGCCTTCAATTAAAACTTAAATTACCGAAAACTAAGGCAAAACCGCATCGAGTCGGTGGGCTACGCTTTTAGTAAATTGATCAACGAATTTTTTTTTGAAGGAATGAACTAATTTGGGGATGGCACTCGAAGGCACTCGAAAAGCAAAGTACTCATTTGCTGAAAAAAAGCGTAAAAATTAACAATTACATTTATTTTAGCAAACAAGTAAGACATACGAGCTATATTATATTTTTTACTTGTTGAAAATAATCCCTTCTGCAAGTTTCGGAAAGAAGTCGAACAGCAACATCAGCATCTTTGACTTCTAAATTTTTTTTCATTTCCATCAATATTTTATGAATTTTTCACTTCGAAAATATGGTAAAAGAAAACTACTTGCCCGAATTCTTTGAAACTTTGGCATAAATTAGTTTAATGTATTATAAAAAGGATCCCAAACTCAATTTGGTCAATTTCTTAAAAAAGAAAAACGTATTTTTGGCCAAAAATTTGATCGGCTGGCCCAGTGTGCATAGGTAAGCTCTTTAGATGTACGAAGTATGAATGAAGTTGTGTTTATCGTTTTATTATGGCCCTTATGTTTGCTGTTTATGCAACGGAGTTCGTTAAAATTCCCGTCATTTTGATAAAGATATTTTTTGGGATTTGTTAATTTTTGATAATATACCTAGCTACATGAGTTATATACTTTTATTATTGTTATTAATATTATTTTTAATATCTCTTCATCCCTTTCATTGCATATTCAATCGAAGTTCTCGCTCCATTTACAAAAAAAGCCTCAAAAAGTTCCCAAAAAATTTTCATGCACTCAAAATATGTTCAACTTTGTTCCATTTGCTTTTGTAGTTGTGTGTTTATCTGTGTGTTTTTTATAACCATAATGCAATTTGAACTCTTGCTCATAACAATATATAATAATTATTAGTACATAAATAGGTATATATTTATATTGGTATTATATTGCATGAACAGTGTCCGAAGTTTAAAGCCTTCCAATATAGGTTCTAACTTTTTTCTACAGTAAAACTGTACGTCCGTCCCATTTAGAGATACTATCTGTATACCCGGAATTACCCTACGGTTTTCTTGTAAAATATTAGTTAGGCCTTTAGTAGGGGGCTTCAAAAACCAAGGACCAACTGTACTAGGTATTTATGTACCAATTAATGTATTTCTTGCATTATGTATATCTGTATATATATATTTATTCTTATCGGAAGCTATTTAAAATGGCACTGCAGTAATTTTTGTTTATATTCCTATATAAGGTGGGAAAATCAATTAGTTGGGCCGCCATTTACCCCCTCTTTATTGAGGTTCGGCGCCCTCTACTAAATATTCTTCTAAATATCCTTCCTCTCATCCTCTGTTATAACAGTATACGAATTTGGGGCTCTAACTCAATTGGGGATTCAGATGAACCGCCCTTGGTTGCCCCTCAAGTAATTATTAAAATATATGTACAGTGATGGTCAAGAGTCCAGCAAACTCAGACATGATCGTAATAATTGTGTCCTTTTTCTCTCAAAGAAATGGTTAGATTTCCTTTTCTAGAAATAAAGGAAATCGCAACCTTCCATTAGAAAAAAGAATTTAACAGGAATTAGAGCAAAGGTGAGTGTACTGAACTCGCGGCCACCACAGTATATGTAAGTGTATGTATATAATATATGTGGTATTTGATTATTGCGTTAAAAGCTTAGTATTCCGTTCTGAATTATTATTATATATTCCTTGGTGTATATATATAGGTTGTATAATAGTCTTTTTAAAAACCGTTCTTATTGCATTCTTATCCTTATTCGCTAGGCTTACGCTTAACTTTAACACATTTGCCGAGCAAATATTGTTGGTTTAAAATTCAATTTGCAAAGTTCTTGCTAATGTTCCCCCAAAATGTGTCTCACATGTTCGCTTGTGTCTTTGAATACAGTTGACAGTACAATCGGTAATACAATAGTAAAAATATGTGGTATAGGGTTTCGAATACGAGTAGTATGGAGTTAGTTTAGAGTACAGTATAGGTTAGTTAATGCGTGGTAGAGATATCGGCATAAGTAAAGATATTCCTTCGATAGAACTTCCTCATTGATTTGCACCTTAGCTGAGTTTAAAAATAATTACTCTGTATAGTGTAGAATGGCTTAGAAGTAGACGTATAGATAATCGGATGACTTGCGTCAGTAAAATATGTTTATTTTTTGTAGTTATATGTATTTTGGATTGTTAATTATGTTATACGGTTGCCTAATTACGCTTTGCATATTTTCTTAATGTTCCATTTTTGTTTTTTACTTTGCTAAAATTTAATATTATCGGTTTTGCGTGGGAAGCGTTCGATTTTGGTTCCTTTACATTTCGTTTAAACTTTATTTTGTGTGTCTCTTCACATATTGGTTTTAATCTTTGATACATTTGTTTAATCTCCTTAACTTGCTTATTGGTTTCAGTTAATTTTGATAGGAAATAAAAATGTCATTCTAAATAAATTGAAAAGCCAGTGTGGAAAAGTTTAAAACTGTTTGCTTCACACATATATGTGTTAATTTAAAATTCACGTTCTGTTTGGTTCTTAAGCTTGTAAAAGCGTTAAAAACGTTAAAGTAAAACTGTGTAACATACGATCGAGATTGAGTCGCCAATTGATTTTTGCCGAAATAGCCTTAAAAAGTTCCATTTAAAAGTCGCCCTGCCTGGGCATTTCTTCATTTGTTCGTTTGGTTAATAAAAATATGGTAAATTTTATAGTTATTTAAAATTGTTTACGAATATGTATGCGTGTATTTGTATATTTGTGTGCTAGTGTACACTCAAAAAAAAATTTTAGAAAATCGCCTATGGATTTGCTTTACTGGCGATTTTTTTCTATATTTCTGGAATATTTCTTGAATTTAATGAATTTTGATTAATTGGAAGAAAATTTTCTTTACCAGTAGAAAATTTTTTTATTTTAAAGAAAAAAATCGCCAGTGAAGCAAATCCATAGGCGATTTTCTAAAATTCAGGGCGATTCATTTTCTGAGTGTAGGTATTTTAGTGTATGTGTATGTGAAATGTGAGCTTGATTTTTGCGAGCTAAAAACACTTGTTGTTTCCAATAGATTTTAAACGTGTTGTTAATAAAATAATGGTACTGCCTCCTCACCCACCTAATAATTATTAAGGCTAAAAAATTAATTTAAAAAAGATACGTCCCCTAACATTTCTTCCGTGAATCCGTTCAATGAGTGAAGTGAAATAAGGTATTTTCTTGTTGTTGCAGTTGGAGCATTTATGTTTCCCTATAAAGGTAAGTCTTACGATTACTAATAATTCAGCTAAAGCACCATTTTATCTGTATGTCTGTACAGTTTGTCTAGCTTATGTTAGATATTTCCCTTTCATCCGTACCTTGTCATTAAAATATATGTGTTTTCATAATTCTCCCACTAGTATTCCGTATGCATTGAGCCATGGTGCTAATGGGTTAAGTATCTCTGCGAAATGTTTATCTCTTATGCTTCGCGACCCCTGCCCTGATATCCATTTAGAATCTATTATCTATACTTAATTCCAGACTGCTTTCGCTTGGTAGGCAAAGGATGTGGAATACACAATACTTTAATTGCATTAAAAGTAGTCAATAAGCTTTTTGATTTGTGGTTTGCATTAAAGCGATTTAAGTGGGTGATTTGCTTGGGTTCTCCTCTCTCCTAATCGAAGGCAATATGTATGTGAGTATAGCTAGGTAAATGGTTAGTAACAATGCACTTGTCCTGGGTTTATTGCTACTTATACACCGGCCAGCGTCTGGCCAGAGTTTCCCGGGGATTGTCTGGCCCTGACCAACGAAAACTAAGCTAGGTAGGCGCTACAACAGAAACCGTTACACTAAGAGGCATCCTTGTTTACCCTAGACCCGCAATCCCTCCACAGTTCTCATCTTGGTTAATTAAAAATTGCTTTTCCTCGCAAATCTATATTAAAAACTAAACAAATTCAACTAGTCTGCCATCGTCTAGCCTTCTCCTAACACTCGTCATTCATTTATTGTTATAATTACTTGGTTTCATATTTGTTTCTTTCGAAGACTACCATAAAATCCCTGTAGGTTCATCGTAATGCGTGTGTGTTGTGTGTGATGTCCGAGATAATGCTAAAAACAATTAATGCCTAGAGAGTAATGCGTTAAAATGTCACAAAACACCCGCAGCGTTAGTTTCGTAAAGTCTGAACTACTCGATTACATTGGTTGCTTTTGGTTTTTGGAGTATTTCAGTTGCTCGGTAAAGTAATTTGATTGTTTTTATGCTTAAATTCGTTTGAATTTAACGTTTGATATTAGACTAAGTTACTTAACTTCGTTTGCGTCTTAAGAGTAACAATTAGCATGGGAAGCGCAGGTTAGTGTTTAGTTGGGTTAAGCTTGGATTAAGAGTTGCCAAATGAAAAGAAGGCGAATTCAAAAGCAATTTTGTATATTTGTTTGGTTGGTGAATACGTTTGAATTTTCGTTATTCTTCTTTTAGTGATCAATTTGGTTTAAGGAATAGATTTAGGTTATTTTCCCTATCCATGGTAGGTTTACAAAATTATTAAGTTTTAAATTATATAAAGCCTTGTAATGTACAATATGTAATATTATTGTATACATTTGTGTATTCTAGATAGATAAGCGCTGGAGAGATCCTTTCTCAAAATACATGAAAAATAATGTAGACATAAATTATAAGCTTATTGCCGGTGAGCTCTAAAACTGGAACAGCCAAAAAAGCCAAAGAAAGATAAATCCTTAAAACAAAGTTCAACAATCAATCAGGCATCGCGTTAATGCTCACAAGGATAATGCTTAAAGCTAATCCAAAACAAAAAACTAAACATTATAATAATAATAACTCAGGTGTGTAACAATTCAATGAGTAACAAAAAGGGGGGACTGGTGAGTTAAACGAATTTACAATTTTTAAAATGTTTTCCTAAAAATTGAAATTCCCTGATTAACGCTTAACGGACAATCCAAATCAAATGATCATATTAACTCGGGTCTGGGGGCTTGGCTATGTAAAAAGAAACCATATAAAATTCCTCAGTAATAGCGCAAAACATAACAAAAATGGTTATCTTAACCTCTCTGCGCGGAAATTCGGACGAGACTTGTCCAGTTAATCGCCGTTTGCCGCGCAGTTTCGTTCGCTTAAAATTATACATGTACAAATTAGAAATTATTAACTGCTTTCTTAGCCAAAAAGTAACTTGAGTAGTATGTTGATGAGGGGTATGAGTAAATGAAATTGCTCATTTCATGTATCATTCGTTTAGCATTCGAATGCCGGCTCCAAATGCTGATATGTAAGCATGATTATCAAAAAATAGTATGAATGGGGGTCGTTTGTTTCGATTCGAGGGTGTTCGGTGTGGGGGAGTCGACTAACACTAATTACCTTAAAGGAAATTCAACGTGTAAGCTTCATATCGTACCGATCTAATATACACATCAATAAAACTGTGTTTACAATGATAATGACGATGATGATGAGCCCGGGTCTCCATCGGCTGCACTACGTATGCGCCATTTCTTCTACTTTGCCTAAAAGTCCAAAATTCCGCACGCTGTGAGTGTGGAAACATCCGTTAAAACGGTGCGGATAAAAGCCGCAGCAGTCTAGATCGCCTGATGCTGCTGCTGACGATACTGTAAATGCTGCTTCTGCAGTTGTCGCTGCTGATGCTGATGAAATGTGTACATCGAGGTGGCAGCGGCGGCATTGCCGGCTCCGGAGTTGCCCATCAGGTTGAGATTGAGGGCCTGCGACTGCTGTTCCATCTGATGGTGTTGCTTCTGTTGCTGCTGGCTGTGCCCCATCTTGTTGTCGCCGTTAATGCTGTGGCTCGACGAGGCCAACGAAACAGTCGACGAGGATGGTCCGATGCCAACTAGGCTCTGCGACTTGGAATTGCGCGTCAAGGGCTTGTGATTCTTGACGATATCGCAGCTGTGCTGCCATTGCCAGCAGCTGCGGCAGAAATATCTGTAAAGATAATAAATAAGATCATTTAGAATTCCCTTAGCTTCAACTCCCAACTCACCGGAAACACGACAATTCCCGACAATAGTAGGGACCGTGCTGCACTCCGCATATAGAGCATAAGGCATCCTCCAGGTACGGATCCACCTGCACCTTCTTGGTGAACTTTGTGGTTCGGATCTCGATGAAGGCGGCAGAGACAGCTTTCATGTAGGAGCGAAAGTTGCTGAAGGTCACACGTCCCGATCCGATCGGGTACTTGTACTTGTCCGTATCAATGCCGGCATACAGCACACCATCAAAAAGATCATCCATGATCTTTCCCAAACCCTCAGCAGTCAGTTTTCCATGTAGGGCGCCCACAAACACGGTCTTTGTTGGGTCTAGTTTCTGGGAGCTCGAGCGCACAAAATTGGAGTCGGCAATTATCCAGGGAATGACCTCCACCTGGTTAATAGAAGAAACGAGGATTAAATTTAGGAACGGTTTATGTGGTAGTTTTTCTTCATACTCACATCCTTGGACTTAATGCGACGCGAAGAGATTTTGAAGAAATAGTTACTGCCACTATGCGAGTCGTCCACTTGGACCACGCAGGCCGAGAGTAAGGCCTTAACCTGCTTGTCCGACTCAAAGATGATGTACACATAGCCCTTGGGCTGCGCAGCCTGCTGCTCCTTGCCGGGCCATTCCACTCTAACGAAATTAATATTTTGTATTACTCAGGATGATATCTATATTTTGTATTCCCTTACTTAATAGATCCAAATGGCTTGAAGATCTGGATGAGCGACTGCTCACTAATGTCCCACGGAATGCCGCCGAGGAAGACCTTGGGAGAATAGTTGAGCATACGGTGCGAACGCGGCGGCAGCTGACCGCTCCAGGTGCAGGTGGCATCGCACAGGGCCGCCGAGCTCCTGTGGAACTTGGCCACGCGATCCAAATGGCCATCGTTGGTGGTTCCTCCGCCGACATTACCGCTTCCCGTCATTTCCGATACAATGGATGATCCGCCCGTGCTCATCAGGCTACTGAGATTGCTTCCCGGCACGCTATTTATTGTGCTGCCGGCATAGCTCTGCAACAGCTGGTTGATCAAAGGCATCTGTTGCGTCTGGGCCTGCAGCAGCTTCAGCGTGTTGATGCGCTGCAGATTTTGCAGTTTGGCCAGCTCCATGTCCACGCTGGCGAGGTTTTCCAGGGTGTATTGGCTCAGGCAGTTCTCGCTACTTCCGCTGGCAACTCCCACGCCGTTGTGCTCGAAGCCGTGCTGTTGGCCACCTCCATTAGCGGCCATCTGCTGCTCGTAGGTCCTATTTAGGTTGGCGTACTGCTGCTGCAGCTGATGTTGCTGCTGCTGCTGCTGTTGCTGATGCTGCTGTTGTTGGTGGTGATGTTGCTGCTGTTGCTGCATGGAAGCTAGTTTGTTGCTATTCACAGACAGCAGATTCTGAAAGATAATTAAAATATTTTATTATTAATTTATTTTAAGTATTTAACTAGTAAAATTAATATTTATTTGCTAATTAGCTTGCAACCGAGTTGGTCTTACCATAGTCAAAACTTTGGCCATGGTATTTATACAAAAAAACTGTAATTTTGAAGAAAAATCTTTAAAAATATTTGTTAAGAAAATCCTACGTGTTGGAATATTTTTTATAAATGATGGAAAAATCAAAAGTGCCTTTTCTACTCCAATTCTTAACCTCTACATAAATTCTAGCACCTAAAACCTAGTTAAAGACTTACAATCATGTCCAGTAGGTTGGGCTCGTTCATCGACTGGCCGCTGTTCTGACTCTCTGGCGAGTTGGAACGCGTGGAAGCGTTCGCCAGGCTGAGTCCCAATCCGCTGCCCATGGAGGCTCCCAGGCTGGCGTATCCCTGCTGCTGCGGCTGCTGTTGTTGCTGCTGCTGCTGCTGGTGGTAGAGCATGTTGATGGAGTCCAGGGAGAGGCCGTTGCCGCTCGAGGAATTGCTGCTGTCGCTGCAAGGGTCACGTAACACTTGATTAATCACAGCGCTCAAATCAACAAGACGAGTGCCACATTATCATAATTCGGTTATTACCTGACTAAAGGTGAACTGTGAAAGGAGCGATTGTAAATAGATGTAGGCGTACTTGGCGATAAGGGTGCAGAGCAATCGAAGCTGATGTTTGTTCTTTGGAAAGCCTTAAGTGGGTTACTTTGTGCAACATTTTCAAACTAAGTTCGCCAATTCACCCAAAAAGAAAGAAAGAATGGAAACGAACAAATAAATTAAAATGAGGAAAGGAAACGGTAACGACAACAGATAACTTCGCTTAAAACGAAGTTCGAATACCCTTGCAGAGCTCCTAATTTACGAATCTATAGAAAAGATTTCTCGCATGCTTTAACCACTGCAAGGATACTTAAAATATGACAGACATAGAGTGGGTCGATTTGAAGTAATTACAAATATTAACTAGAGAATTACCTGACATTTAAGGTTAAGGTTAAGTTAAGGTTAAGTAAAAGCAATCAATATTTGTTACTTTTAAATATTTAATAAATATTAGGTTAGGTTAAGGTTAAGTTAAGGTTATCTATATTTTTTACTTTAAAAGAATGCATTTAATTAATTATTAATTTGTTATAATTGTAACTATTATAAAAATTTCTTGAAACTATAAATCAATTACTTATATTTCGACCCACCCCATTAACACAGAGATACAGAGACAGGAGGAAAGGTTTATAGTTAGAGTTAGAAAATCATAAGACGGTTAAGGTCACCGTGCGAGGAGCACAGTTCGGTTTTTGGGGATAGATACGTTAAGTACAAGCAAAAAGTTACGAGAATTCGGTGCAAATTGAGTGCATTGAGAGAGAATTAGAAGGTCACAATCCGAGGGCAGGCATCAACCGGACGGGGAGGTGCCGCAAATCCGCATCGACACCTGGCCTTACCTGGAAGTAGTCAAAACTGGACTTGGTGCCCGGCGAGGCCGACGACTGGGTCGAGCTGGGCGTCAGTGGAGCGTAGACCGCCGCATTGGCGGACAGTTGAACGCCATCGCCGGCGGCAGCGGCAGCAGCAGCGGCTGCCGCACTGGCGAGCAGCAGATTATTGACGTCGCTGCCGCTGCCGTTGCCACCGAAGCTGGCGGATGGGTTGCCGCCCGTGACGGTGGTTTGTCCCACGACTCCTGGCCCGGCAAGTGCTCCTCCAGATCCAGCTCCTCCCACTCCCGTCGAGGATGTTGTTGTTGTTGCTGCACCGGCTCCTGCAGCTCCTGGTGCTCCTCCGCCGCTTCCTCCTCCCAGTCCCGAAGTAGTCGATGTCGAGGGGCTCTGGCCGCCGCACAGACCGAGTAGATCGTTCAGTGTGATTGGATCTACAGACAGACGGGAAAAAGAGAGGGGTAAGTGTACAATGTCAACAATTATCGTAAAGTTTGCCCAGCCCTCGATAAATCAAAACTATTGCCCCTCAAGCACTTTGCAAATATTCGACAAAACTGCTAATAAATTAAGCGTACTGCAGTTGCTGTTTGTGTTTGTGTTGTCCATGTTGCTCTGGCCATTGCTGTTGCTGCTACTGCTACTGCCGTCTTGGGCCAAGTTCTGGGCTCCGTCGCCAGCAGTCGGCCTGCCAAGGTCCTTGGAGCTTCCATTGCTTGTGTGGCTGCTGGTGGAGCTCACATCGCTGTTGTTGCCAAATTCAAACGAGTCCTGCGATACCGCCACCGCCGACTTTCTCATATATGGCTTCTCGACTCCCAACATGGGTGTTTGCTAATCCTGACGGAATCCTGGCCTTCGACGGACTGCTGCTTCTGTGTCAGCGCTTACTTATTGGACGCAAACAATTTTGTGCGGCCTATTATATTTAAAATTTCAAATGGTACTGTAAAATTTAAGTTCCGCTTCTTGCTTTTGCTTGCTGCAGTGGTGACAATTTTAAATCGAAAGGGAAATGAAAATTTTTTACCGCGGACCACGGTACTATGGCGGTCCGACTTGAAAAAAGAGTATGACTAATTAAACTTAACAATTATAATGACAGTGTCTACGAATTATGTGTGCCGACTTCTAAAAGTAAAAAACTATTGAAATGTTTTCTGTGAGTTTCTGACATTCCTGCGTCCAATGACTTTGACAGCAAAGTAAAAGCATATTCTAGTCTAAAATCAGTCTGGATTTTTGTTTAATATTTACAATATAAATACTATTAAATAAAGGTATTACATATTTGCGGCGCGAAGAGTAAACCAACTTGTTTTTATACTTGAAGATAGAATATCTACCCTTATTTAAAAATATTAAATTAAATTTATTTACACTCAAAATAAAATTAACCCCAAAGTCAAGGAAATCGCCCTACTTTTGTCTTCAAGACAAGCTAGCCCTAAATTTTAGGGTCACATTTTTCTATATTTTTGATTTTTTTTTTTGACGTCATATTTCTAAATTTTAGGGTAATTTTACTAAATTTAAGGGCAAAAATTTCTAAAAAGTAGGAAATTTTCCTAAAAAATAGAAATTAAAAACAAAACAAAAAAACATGTTCAATCATGATTTTTTTTTGTATATACGTTTATATTATGTACTCCTCCCTATGTACATATGCAAGCGTTGTGTGTCTTGTATATTGTGAATCTTAAAGGTTATGTATTTATTATTATGTATTTGCACTTGGATTTCTTATGTAACCAAAGCCAAATGTGGTTGTAAATGTGGACTACGGGACTGCGGGGGAATGGGGGAATGTATAAATTATGATTAGTTAATATTTTATCTTCATGAAAAAAACTTACAATTTTTACTTGTCCGTCGTGAGAATCGAACCCGGGTCTCCCGCGCGAGGAGCGAACGGCCTACATACTGGGCCATTGTAGCACATAAATAAGTTGTGGCAAACCGAGCATTGTATGTAAAGGGTGAAGCGGACAACACATTTGAATACTAATTGCATAATTTTGACCATTCGCGTTTTACTTATTTACATACGTATATACATATGTATATATTTATGCTAACGCAATTTATATTATGTGTAGTTTATAGTAAATAGCTGAATATAAACCTAATTATTTTCAGTTTACCGCTTGCCATCAATAAAAAAAGGAATAAAAAAAAAGTAAAAAAATAAATAAAAAGAAAAATAAAATAACATTAAAAAAAAAGAATAAAAAAAAAGGTTAAAAAATTTTGCTCTGGGACTAGAACCCGCGTCGATTCGATTGTTAACCAAGTGCTTTAACCGTCTGCGCCACGGGTACAGCCGGCCGGCAGCTGACAAGTTCTGGCATTGAACATTTTGGTGTGCCAGAGCATGTGAAAACAAATATTTCTATTTTTTAGAAAAAATTTCTACTTTTTAGAAAATGTTTCTATTATTTAGGGTTGGTTTCATTTTAGGGTTAGGGCACTAATTTTTAGAAAAGGTGTTGCCAAAATATTTTGTTATTTTCGTTTGCCTTTCTATTTTTCAGAAAATAATTTCTAATTTTAAGGGCATTTTTTCTAGATTTTAGGGTGATTTTAGTTCATGGTAACCATTTTCTACATTTAAGAAAAACTTCCTAGATTTGAGAAAAACTTTCTTGACTTAAGAAAAATTTCCTTAGATTTAGAAATAACTTTCTTGTATTTAGAAAAAAGAAATATTTAGGGCGATTTTCTAAAATTTAGGGTTAAATTTATTTTGAGTGTAGTTGGTATATTTTTAAACATTTTCCCACTATTTATCCTATCTTATCTTTCCTTACTGCAAAACGCAACTTCTTTAGATCCGCAAGATCTTTTAAATACTTTTTCTAATCTAGTACATAGATAGCACATCATTTCGGAACCCTATGCTCACCGTTGATGAATGATATCAACCCATCGTCACTGCATCTGTCCAGCAGATTGTGTTGCAGTTGCTGCTGTTGGTGGTGTTGCAGTTGCAGCTGATGCTGATGCTGCTGTTGCTGCTGCTGATGGTGATCCAGGTAGGAGCTGATCGAGTGCTTCTGCAGCAGCTCAGTGGTGGAGCCTCCGCTCAGGGCTCGCATGTTGCCACCAGAACCGGAGCAATCAGGGGTGTCGTACTGGAAATAAAAATAGAGAAGGGGTTTTGTAGAGCGATGACATCAAGCAAGAGATTTGAACTGCAATCGTAATAAAAACGGGCGACAGTTGGCGAAACTTTTATTGTCTCTCTGTCTGCTTCTGTTTTAGGTGTGCCATGTGGAGGATGAGGTAGGTAGGTTGGTGGTTGGGTGGAGCAGTTCCTGGCTGCAACTAATGAATCGTTTATCTTTCACATTTCTTGCCACATGCCAGGCAACCCCGAGAAGAGGCAACAACGTGGCAACCGCACGAGGACAGCCACAAGGAGACAATTCCACCACCCCCTTAGTTTTCCCCATTTTCCGGCACCCACAGCAGCCGACCCTTGTGTCGCACTTCCCTCTGAATCTTCCTCGCTCTCCTCTGAAGCACTCTCGAGCGCCTGGGCGCAATTAAAAGCGCATCAAGTGTCAGTGGAGCACACTTAAAAATGCCAAATTAGTGCAAATATTGTTATCAGGCACTCACCAAACAATTTAGCGCAAAATGGCGTACAACTCATTACGCCGGATTAATGCAGCCCACGAAACGGAACGAAAGCCAACGAATCGAGACGAGTGACAGCAATCGGAAACGGGGGGGTGGAGGAGGAAACGTGTCTATGTGGGATGGATGACGAGGACAAGGACTCGGGTGAGCAGGGGAGAAGGTGAAGCGAAATGTGCCAAAGCCAAGGCAACAAGTCACTGTCGATGGTCGACGGTCAATGGTCAGCTGATGAGTGGGTGCGAAAGAGTTGTGCCAGTTACCTAAAAAGGATTCGCGAAAGGGAGAGAGAGTCCTCATCGAGTCCTTGATGTTCGATGCGAGTCAGTGGGTTAGCAAAAATGGTTATGGAACTTAAAGGACATATGAAAAGGTTTTTTGAATTGTAAATTAAATTACTAGACATCATCCTACACACAAAAAAAAAAATGTGGTAAAATCAAATGTTATAATTGTTAAACCCAACCACAAAAATTGTCAATTCTAACAACAACAACAAATATTTCCTTGGTAGAATTGACAATTTTTTGTGGTTGGGGACTGTTTGACAATTTTTTACCAAGTTTTTTGTGTGCAAGAGAATTTGTAATCCAATTTATCAAAAAATCAGCATAAATGAAAGACACTCGATGTGAGAAATTTATGAATGGTTTCACACCGATCAACCGTGACAATATTTTATCACATGATCTGCTTTGGACAAAGAATACCATAAAAACTTAAATTAACTTGCAAAACTCACATTGCTCACTTGTTCAGCGAGTGGAAATGATGCGATTTTCCTGGCCCAAATGGATCCAGCCACAAGTTAAAGATCTAGCGCCGCATAAAGGGACTGACAAGTGAAGGGGAACGAACGAAAGGAACTTCCATCCGCCGGCAAGTTTTGAATGCCGGGGAATGGAGCGACAGTCGACGGCTTCCTTGGTCTTTGTCAAGATGTCACAACTATGTTAAGTACAAAACTTGCTATGGATTTAAAAATTGAATGACAACTTGATGAAGGTACGTGCAAAGTCGGAAATGGCACGAACATCCCGAACACACGCACGGCAATCACACATCCTCCCTGCCAGGATGCGGAATGCGGGGATGTGCCGGACAACTCGGGCTCCGTTTAGGGGCGGCATTGTGGCCCATATGTGTGTGTGCTTTTGTGGGCGGATTTCAGACTTTGTTTCTAGCCTACATACGTCACACACACCGCCCACCAACCAGTTACAACTTGTGGCAGGCGATAAAAAACGGCGTCAATGAATGCAAATTACAAATAGTCTTCAAGCTATTTTGTAATGCCGAGGCCGCGTCCGCGTCCGCATCCGCATTCTCATCCGCAACCGCATCCGCCCCAGATCCGTCGTCAAAAACAGCAGTAAGACGCTAAAAGCTTTCGCTGGCGGAAATAGAAAAGGCGTCAGAGAGACTAACGAGAATATAGGGCCACCGCCCTTGAGAGGAAGTAGGGATGCTCTTTTTTCAGGACCAGATGGAAAGAAAAGTTTTTTAAAAATGGGTTAAATTACCTTTAAAATTAGAAAAATGAAGCAAAATCTTTGATTTTTTAGAAGTCTTTCTAAATAATGAAATAAGTATCGATTAAACAACCCAAACTTAACAAGAATTATTTTTAAATAAACTTTAAAAGGTATTTTTAATTTAAGGAAAAACCAGGCACACCTTTACCAAATCGATTTAGGAAAATCAGTGTAAAAGAGAACTTAACAGCCGACACGTAAAGGCCAAATTCTCGGTTTACAATGGAAACAGCTCAATCAAGCAGCGATACCCGGCCAACAACTACTCTCTCGCCCCGGAAAAAGGGCCATAAACAACGAAATTGAATACGACAAAAAATCTTAACCACCCGTTGACGCATAGATAGCACCCTGGCCTATTGACTGCTCTATTCCTTTCACGCGAATTGTCAGGACCTCCCTTATATGGTGGCTCCTGTTTCAGTTTCGGCTTGGCTCCTTCTCCTGCCACTTGTCCTTTGCCGTCGAGGATTTGCAAAATTTGATTCAATGGCGTTGCTGTGTCCGAGTTCCTTCCCCCTATCCCTGCCAGCTGATGGCTACATGGAGATATTCGGCATCTCTCTGCGTTCGATCCGAAGATGTCAGCAGCCGCCAAGGGGCCAAGGAGCCGTTCCACCCATAACTCAGTAGTTATTTATCCCATGTCCATTTGACTTGGCTTTTGTGCTCCTCCTCCTTCGTTTCTCGTTGGCCATTTTCTTGGGCTTTACATGCATTCCATTTTTGGCAAGCGATTTGCCTTGGCTGCTCTTGGGTCTGGGATTTCGTCCTGCGCCTGTCCTGGCCTGGTCTGCATTTCAGCGGATACACTCACACATGAAAAGCGTTTCCGGGGCCAGAGCCTCTGTAAAATTACAAGTTTCTGCTTTCAGAAGTCATACAAATTATTATGTTTGCATCGCTTACAACACTTATTAGATGTCCTGCTCCTGTTTTTCATCCCTTTTCGCCAGGCTTGTGGCCCTCTGGTCCAAAGGGTTTTCGGCATTAAAATTTGATGGCATGTAGTGATAAGCGTTCAATAACGACGTTGTCCTTGTCGTCGCCATTCCTTCCTGCTCAGCCCCCTTTTTCCCCCGAAGGCCGAAGGACCACTTCATTCGATTCGTTTCGTTTCGATTTCTCGCTGCCCGCTGCCCTTTTCCCGCTCCCAGTGACCGCAGCCAGAGGTTAATGCACAGTTGTAATTTTTTATGGCCGATTACATGTTGCCAACTTGTGGGCGAAAAACGGAATTGCAGGAGTGGGTTGGCAAGTCCATAAAGGATAAGAGTTATGGCCGAATGCATTTGAATTTGCCAGCGGTAATAGAGTGTTTGCATATTACGTGGCGAGTGTTTAAATCCCCTGAAAGGATTCGGTATGCAAAATTTATGGAGTTTTGATCTATAAATTGAGGGGCGGCGAGGGAAAAACGATTGGCGGATGCCAGCCAAAGGGGAAATCAAGTAAATGCAACTCAATTTATGACAAAGTTTTCTATTTCCCACAAACTATTGGCAAATTACGAGGTTAAGCTGTGTCGATTTTGTGTCATTTCGATAGTTTTGGTTATAAAATTTAAATAGTTTGATGAATTTTAATATGACTTTCATGATTAGCTTATAAAGATGATTTTAAAAAATATATTTGACTTCTGACAAATATAAAATACTTTTGAAAAGGGTTCAGCGAACTAGATATATTTTATAATACCATTTCCAGTATAATTTGATTGTAATATCAAAATCCGCTTTATAACTTATCCTTATCGATATCATTTTCAGTTCTTATTTTGAAATGAACAAACATTTTCAAGCAAAGGCTTTAACCAATCGTGTTATCTACACCCTTTATGTTTATAAGTTTTATACGATCTGTTGTAAAAGTTCAACTAAGTGGATTCCTCTAGAATGCAATGACGGCGTTTAATGTTTGTAAATTAAAAAGCATTCACCGGAGTCGAGACCTCTTCGACTTCGAACTTTGTCCGCAGGCTAAAAGAGGAGGAGGAGTCGTGGGTGGAGAGCCCAGAGATTCGATAAGATGCAAATGCCTGCAGGACAGCAAGCAGTGCTGGCGTTGGGTTCCAATGCAGTGGCACGTAATTGCTGCGCCTACATATCCTGCATCCTGAGTCCTGAATCCTTCTCCTCCTCCTCGTCGTTGAGCAGCTGCTGCCTTGTGTTTGTGTTTTGTGTTGTGCTGTGCTGTGCATTTCATTAAATGCCAATGGCTGGGCAAATTAAATTGAGTTTCGAGCATGTCGAGGAGTGCCATTTCATCAGCTTTGACGACGCGATGTGTCGCCATCATATTTACATAACTGCATGCCTTGCACGCTGCACGTTGTTTTTGTGTCCTCTGTTTTGTGCAATATGAAAACAAGACATTAAATGCCTTTCTGGATCAAAACTCAACTATCAAAGTGCAAGCAGACGTCTTCCCGGGACCACCAATGCCTCCTACCTCCTCCCGCCTCCTTTACTCATCCTTCCCTTTTCAGCGGAGTCAGTCGCAGTTGCAGCTTCCTTTCGCATGCAGCCCATCCATTTAATAATAACAATATCGTAATTCAGGCAAGTCACTGACAGCAGCAGCCTTTACATGGGCGTAGCCAGCCCCTCCTCCTCCTTTCGGCGAACAAACGAGAGAAGCGTAGCGACATTTCAGTTTCAACGGCAACATTTCCGATTCTCGGCGCTTTGTTGCCGTTGTTATTGTTTCTCTGTGGGTGGTGGGTGTGTATGGCACAAGTGGGTGGCTCCAAAGGGGGCGGGGGCGCAAGCCGTCAACAGGCATTCAATACAGGCACGTTTGTATGAGTGCTAAGTGGAAATAAAACACGCGCTTTTTCCGCACTGTATTATCTGCCACTGCTACTGGATCTGTAGATCTGTTACTGTTTCTGGTGGTGGGGGTGGTGTTGCTACTCCTCCTGCTAACTCCTGCCAAATGGTGGTGCAGCCACCGCCAGGGGGAGCTGGTGCATGCTGCACATTTTTTAGGCAGCCCACGAGGCGAAAAGGCACAACTTTTCCGGGCCTATTTAAAAACAGAAACACAACAAAGTTGCTAAAATGCAGGGAACATGCCTCGAATAGGTGATGCTTAGTGTTGTAAATATTACAAAATAATATTTAAATATTTATACGTAGTTATTAAAGTATTTTAAGAATTATTACTTTATTTTTCTTAAGATTATTTAATATGTTTCATTAGATCTGCCCTAATAGGTATGCTATACCTATGATCTACAGATTGTACGAATTATCCCTTTATCTTTTCGTAACCCACATAAATTTTAGGGACCAAAAAAGGTGCCTAGTGATGCTATCCTAAAATTTTTTAAAATAAGCCTCGCCTGTATTTAATACAAAGTACCTATATAAAAGTATTTTATGCGAATGTTAACAACTCTTAATCAGAATGTTTTATAAATTTTTTAACAACTCTTATAAATTAGTAATATATTTATGGAAGCTAGTTTAACGCGATCTAATGACAGAGGTTGCAACCTGCAATCCGTGACGAACGAAACGTGGGCATTTCACGAGCCTCCACAGAGTTGCTGGGAACCTTTGCAAGGATATATAGAAAACAAGAGGCGACTCCAACTGGGTGCTGGCCTTTTGTGGTTTTGCCTTTTATTGTTGTTGTTGCTCTGACTGGATGTTGCTGTTGCTCATTGCTGTTTGCTTCTATTTTCTTTTGCCGCATTTTTGTTCGCTTTTAATGATAACGCAACAGCATTGTGTATATGCCACCGCCGCACTGGCCGCCATCCTTCGTCCTGCGTCCCTCATCCTCCTTCCTCATTTTCCTCGTCATCCTCAGGCTCATTCCATTGGCCAAAAGGCCTGATACCCTCTCGGCCACCTTTCGTCATCCGCTCAACCACAATAATGGTGGGCATCGCGTTCAGGCGGAGTTCAGGGGGTCACGAGGGGGTGGTGGCACCACAACGACGCATGCCGCACTGCCAATGCATTAAATGCTAGTTGAGCCCAGTACCCAGTAACCAGTAGTGTGTGCAACGTCTGGCGAAGTAAATTCAATTGAATTTTGCACTCGTTTTCTGTTTTTCAGTTGAGTTTTTCATTTTTCTGCCATTTTGCCCCCTTTTTTGCCTCATTTTTTCTCATTTTTGTTAAATGCCAGAGGCTCATATTGCAATGGGCTACGCCCTAATAGCAACCACTACCACCCAATCCAGAATCCAAAGCCGCCGCAGTGCAACAAACGCACCCCGGTTGATATTTTCTTGGTTGTTATCCTTCTCGCTGGCGGCGGGCGTGTGATTTGCTTGGTATCGACATTTTAATGATGTGCCCTGGGGCTTCTGCTGCTGCTGCTGCCACCGCATTGTTGGAGGACGCCTTGGCCGCCTTGTACTTTTGGCATTTGCGCGAAATGTCGAGACATTCCAATAGTCTGCTGCCAAGGATCATTGGGAGTGGTAATGGAAATGGAAATGGCAGGCTCTGGCTGCGTCCTGGACATCCCCGACTGGCCCGGGGCATATACTTAAGTATACATAACCAACTGTTAATGCCGCCACCGCCCAAGCACAATGATTTGTCCTGAATGATTCCCGACCCCCTCTACATCCATCCATCCATTCACTCGAGGAGTTCGGGCATGAATAATGGCAATGATTTGCCCGATGGAAATCAAATTTGAGCCGGCTAATAACTGGCATTTGCAGGCGGTCATTTAGGCCAAGTATTCACTTAATTATGCCATTAAGTGTAGTGTTTATGGGTTGTTATGGTCTAGGGAATCAACAGGTACTGATTTAGGTTCCAAATGTTTCAGATTAATATCTTTTAGAACTTTAGTTGTGTGTCCTTTTTTAATAAGAAATATTTACAAAAATAAAGCTCTAATTATGAAGTTTTTCCATATATTTACTAATGATTTATGCGCTTTAGGAAGATATTAATTATGCTGGGTCTCTTGACCAGACATCTGGCGACAAAGAAGCCTCTGCTGTCTTAGGTCAAAACATCCTCCTAAGAACTCCCCGTAGTCATTGATGGAGTGACCTCAACTGAACTCGACTTGGACTTCCTTGGACAATAAAAGAAAATGCTGTACGAAACGATGTCACAGCAGGATATGGACGTATGCAGAGCAGGACATCACACATCCCACAGCTTAAAATGGCAAATAAAATGTACAGCATTCTTTATGACCGACAAATTTTCCGTTTTGGCCCTCCCCGCCTTATTTATAGGCATTTTAAACAGCGGGCAATGGCGCAATGGAAATGAATGCAAAAAATATAAATAATACGAGAGGGGGAGAAGGACATTAAGTACACGCCACGTTGGCATGAAGTAGACGCATTTTAGACATTACCAGCAAATAAATATGAATGTACAGCAATACAGCAAGGGGGGGATAGACTCTGCTTACACGACGAAATTGACATTTTGCATTTAGTTATTCAGTTGGGTCTATTTTGATCATCTTTTTTTGCTGCCGCTGCTGGCAGCCACAATAAAATGAGAAGAAAAATTGCATAATAACCCCTTTGAAATCGTCGGATTATCCTTAAATATTTGTGTAAACATTGTAACAAATGCGCAGCTCCATTGTCAGCCAACTCGGGCCATGGATGCAGCACAGGACCGACCCCCTCCCTCTCCGTCTCCTCGAAAGCCATCCCCAATCCATTGACGTAGTCAAGGCAGCTTTTCCTCAACCCCTGTGCGTCGTCTGTCGTCAAATGCCTGAATGATGAGCAATAGACGGGTCCGGGTCTCCTGTCACAGTCGACAATGAGCAACTTTTTCCGAAGGCGGAAGGCGGAAGACGTGGCAAGGATACAAACGGGCGGCGAAGGCGTAGCCAACAATGGGCCCAAGTGCTCCGTCGAGGGGAAGCGTCTTAAAAAACCTGTCACACATATTGACAGTCGCTTTAGGATCGCTTAAATCAAGTCTGGGGTCGGGGCAAGGGCCGAGTAAGTCGGGCTGGTTGGTTAGCATGTGCGTATCAGCATAAAGGATATTGTAATCATTATTATAATTCACATTTGGGGTGAAGGGCAATTGCCGCATCTGACATAATTTTGATGTGTATTGATATGAAGTGGATTGTCAGGCAGGATAATTAATTTTCCAGAGGATAAAAATAAACTCTAGATGGGACAAGTAAGGGATTATAATAAGTCAGACTAAGTACTTTTGCTTAAATTCAAGGATATTTAACTGTGAAGATGTTATAATTTAACATCCCAAGTCAAATAATAAATTACCATAATACATTATAATGACATTATATTAAATATTTCTTTCAGTAAATATACCATTTAAAAAAATGTAATGGATAGCAGCTATAATGTAGACCACTTTAGCCCTACTTTTTCTGTTCCACCAGAGTCGCTCCCTCGTTTTCTCTGCGCTTTTTTGCGCCGCCGACTGTCCTAATCGAATCATCTCATTTAAGTGAATTAAAAAACATATAAAGGCGAGCGAAATTAAATCACGCAACTATTTTGCGCAACAAAGAGTACAATTAAACGCCCCTCCGGCGGCAGCAAGGACGAAAAGGAGGCGCGTGAGTGTCTGGCGCAGAAAACGCCGCAAGTTTAATCGAATTTAACTACTCATAATGTGCAACAGACGTGGGCGGAAGGGGCTGTTCCAGTGGGTGGTTGGTTGGGCGGTGGAAAGTCTCAGAAGCGAGGCGTAAAGTTGGGCACTAATCTTATTAGGATCATCCCGGACCAGCCACTCACGAATCCCAATAGGGAAGGTGAGCCCAAAAAGCCAGCTGATGACGGCCTCTCGCTCTCTCTAACCCTATCCCTCTCTCTCTCTCTCTTTTCGACTCCAGTCGTACGTGAGCGTTTCAATTACCGCTCTGGAGTGCGAATGGGTTTTATTATTATTTACATACCTGTTGCAGCAGGGGCATTGTTTTGAATAAAAATTCCAATTTCCACACTTGTTCACGTTGTGCTCCTTGTTCGTTCGTGCTCGTTCGCGTTCGTTCGTGTTCGGCAGGAGCAGCATCCGCAAACTGACAAAGCGGCAAAACAGATGTCACCACTTCCGCCTCTCGTCCTTTCCCTTTCCCTCTTCCTCAGCCGGTGGAGAGTCCTTTCGCGCACCGTCTCTCTCTCTCCTCTCTCTTTCTCTCTGCTGCGCAAGCTTTCCGGTTGGAGTTCGCTGCAGTTCGAGTTCGAGTTGGATGTGGTCGGAGTTCGAATTGGAATTGCCGAGCCTCGGGCAAGGAGTCTGGTTTGTGTTGTTGTTTTTGTTCGGGCTCCACAGGATAACGCGAGTGAGTGAGCGAGAGGGGGCGAAGGCGACCCAAGACAGCTGGCAGATGTGGCCGTATCAGCAGCAAATAGTCATCGATTCATTATTCCGCCTCGTCAACGATGCAAATTTCGAAGGTCTGAAGGCCTGAAAATATCATAAGCTTGAATTAATAATAAGTACACCTCCGCTTTGTAGTTTCCGAATCACTGGAGTTTAAAGAAAACACACGCGTACGCACTTGAGCGTTAAATGCCGTAAATCGATCAAGGCGTATCCCTCTCTCCTTCTCTCTCGCTCTTCTAGCGCTCCCGGCTAACTGTAATTAACTGTAATCCCGGGTCGTTTACTTTAAAAGTCCCCTTTTATGGTCCGCCAATAACACAAACTATGCATTATCCTTTTGGGTGGTAATCCTTTCGGAAGCTGTGTGTTGAGCGAACCTATTATTAGAGCCATAAATCAGCATGAAATGAGCAGCGGCAGCGAAGTTGGAGTTGTAAAATGGAGATGGAGCCAAGCCCTGTCTCGCTCTCTCTCCACTCTCTCTTTCTCTCTCTGTGCGTAGAATAATGGGTAGTAAGAATAAGTGTGTACACGGAAAGAAAAACAGGTGTGCTAGTATGATTGAGTTAATTTACTATTCCAAACGTTATAGCTTGAATGTATAATATACAAATAAATTTATTAAGGTCCAAATCAGATTTATTATTTCAATAACATGACCTGCGCATTTCGTGCTCCATTTTTTTCTGTGTAGCTAAGGCGGCGATTGCTTTTTGTTGTTCTTGGAGAGATGACGTGAGCCAAAGGAAATGTCAAAAAAAAGCAACGGCACATACTAGTACTAGTAGTTTGTAGTAAAATACGCACGCTGAGTAATGAGAGAACGTCAAATGAGCCCGAGCCGCTGCCCCGTTTTTTTTTACTTTTTTCTACCAACTATTTTACTACACTGCCCCGTTTTTCAGTCAACAATTTGTTGTGCCGGCTAACACCAATACCAATACATACCCTGGAGTCGCAAAAACACGCGCCTCGCTCATAAATTCGTGTGAATTTAATTTTAATTCTGCACCCGCAATAATCGCATCCCGTTTCTTTTGTCGTCCGCCAAGCACATTTTTACACACACTCGCACACACGCCGCCAGGAACCGTTACTTCTGCCTTGCACGCCCTTCGCCGTTATCCGTTTCTCCTTCCGCTGCTGTTTCGCCAGAACTCCCCCACTCACGGATGCATTTTTTTTACTATTTAACTATTTTTTGATTGTTGAAAATCGTTCGATTTCCTGAATGGCGGCGCTTTAATTCGATTTAAACGTGAGCCTTGATTTTCTGCGAACTTTGCCGGGGCAATACAAATTAATAGAAGAAACTAAATATCATCCCGTGATATTTTCTTTTCGGATTTTTGTCGGGATTTTTTTGATATTATGGGACAAAATTCGCAGGAGCGCTGCTTAAATAGACTTTTTCGCCCGAGCCAACCACGTGCAACCGCTCTCTCGAACTGCGGCGCTCTCTTTGGTTCGACACTGCTCGGACTTTACGTTTCATTGCCAAGAATAAACAGTTAATAAAATTGAGGAAATATTGGAACCGCCTTCCAGAAAAGTTACACTTGTGATCTTTTTATAAAACGAAACATTTAAAATATTTATTTATAGTAGAAATAAAATTTGTAATATATCACACAAAAAAATTGTTTGTTTAATTGAATTTATAAAAATTAAATTCTTTTTCTTATTTTATGTTTTTAATTGTTAACTTGACAGTTTTAAAACCCATCTTATTTTTTTCCGTGCAACAAACAACTGTTCAAAGTGAATGGCAACGACAGCTGTTTGCGCAGCGTTGCCAGATCTACTCACTTAAGTTAATTCCCAGCGGCATAAAACTTGTAATTTCCTATTGAAAAATACATTTTATGCTGAATTAAAATGCCGGGAGACACGGAAAACACCAGTGCGGACACCAGCAATGACCACATCGACCTGGCCCTATATCGGCAGCTGGTCAAACAGTTCATAGACATGGTAAGCGGTGAAACGAAAATGCCGGCAAGCGAAGCTGACTAAAAATCCATTTGCATTTCTAGCGTCGCTACTCCACGGCCCTTTTCTGGGCGGAAAAGGTGGCCGTGCTCAGTGGCCAGGAGCCCCGGGATGTCTACTACCAGGCACAGTGCATGTTCCTGCTGGGCGAGTACCATCGAGCCGCCCACACGATACAGCACCACAAGCTGGAGAAGAACTCGCTGCCGTGCTTCAATCTGCTCCTGGAGAGCCTCTATGCGGCCAAGGAGTTTACGGAGGCGGCCACTGCCATTCAGAACGTTGAGGTGGAGGTGATGACCACGTCGCTGATCAACCAGCCCGTGGATGTCGGCAGTGGCTGCTACCTGGAGACGAACAGCGTCTTTGGCGGCGAGGAGAATCACAGGAACGAGCTGCTCTCGTCCATTTACCTCATGAAGGGCAAGGTGTACGAGGCGCTGGACAATCGCGGCATGGCCATGGACTTCTATGTCCAGGCGCTTCATAAATCCATCTACTGTTTCGAGGCTTTGGAGGCGCTGGTTCAGCACGAGATGCTGATGGCCTGGGAAGGTAAGCAGGGTAGTCTCTTTCCTAATTCACCCCCATAATCATCCCCTTTTCCCTGCAGAATTTGAGCTAATGCACCACTTGCCACTGGCTCAGCAATCCAGCGAAACGGACGCCAAGTTTATACTGAAACTCTACGAGTCGCGGCTGAAGAAATACTACGAGTTGATATCCGCCCGCAATGCCGATGAGATATCCCCCATTGTTAATCCCGATATACTCAAGTTTATCAAGGAATTCACGGCTCGAGTGCAGCAGACTGGCTCCTCGGACAACCAGATGCCCAAGGTTAGCGTGCTCAAGGTGCCGCTTACGCCCAGTCAGTTTATGTCGCCTGCTCAGAAGTGAGTTCGATCAATTTATCCAATACCTAGCTTATTCTTTAACATCTTTCTTGTTCAGAGTCCTGGAGGATCTAAAAGCGCCCACTTTCTCCCTGCAAACGAGTCTCTCGAAGGCTTCTTCCCTCATCGATGCTTCCCATCGCTCCATGTTTGACTCGTCTAGCAGAAGGCGTTCGCGGGATCACGACGCAGACACCTTAATTCCTCTCGGAGATTGCCTGGATCGAGTACAGCGTAGTACGGATATTATGGCTGCCGAGGCTGAGAAGTGTTTCTATGACTGCGACTACAAACAGTGCCTGAAAATACTTAATGAGTAAGTTAGTGGTTGTAAGGTTTATAGATTGATATTTAATCCAGATTTCCTACCACAGACTCTTAAAGGTAGATCCCTTCCATAACAACGCCCTGACCATTCAGATTGCCTGCCTGGTGGAGAACGGCGACTTCAACAGACTTTTCTACGTGGCACATAAGCTGGTGGATCGGTATCCGGACAAAGCCATTTCCTGGTATGCCGTGGGCTGCTACTACGACATGATTGGCAAGAGCGATCCCGCCCGGCGTTATCTCTCCAAGGCCACTGCCCTGGATCGACTCTATGGCCCCGCTTGGCTGGCCTATGGCCACAGTTTCGCCAATGAGAACGAGCACGAGCAGGCGATGGCCGCCTACTTCAAGGCCACGCAACTGATGCGCGGTTGTCATCTTCCCCTGCTCTACATCGGCGTGGAGTGTGGACTGACCAAAAACTTGGAGCTGGCCGAGAAGTTCTTCCTGCAGGCCATGAACATAGCGCCGCTGGATGTGTATGTGCTGCACGAACTGGGCGTAATTAAGTACGAGTATGAGTTCTTCGACGGCGCCGCCACAATCTTCCAGTGCACCGTGGACATTGTAAAACAGCGGGCCAAGAGCAACAACGAGGAGATCTCGGCCCGCTGGGAGCCCCTGTTTATTAACCTCGGCCACTCGCTGCGCAAGGTGCACAAGTACGAGGAGGCTCTGTACAACTTTCAATATGTAAGACTGTTTTTGGAGTCCTTAGCTATCAATCCATTGATTCTAAACTGCTGACCTTTTCAGGCCCTTCTGCTAAAGCCACAGAGTCCCACTACCTACACCTCCATTGGATTTATACACGCTCTGCTGGGAAATCTCGACCCCGCCATCGAAGCCTTCCACAAGAGCCTGGCGCTCAACAGAGATTGCATTGTGACATCCACAATTCTCAAGAGTTGCATCGAAGATCTAATGGACGACTCGGCCACCATTGATGAGATCTGCAGCGCCGCCTTGCGAGATGTGGCCAAGAGCATCACGGCCAATAGTCGGCGGGTGTTGAACTCGGACAAGTTCAATGGGATGAAGCTCAAGTTCGACGAGGAGGAGGAGTTCGCCAACTCCGATTCCAACATGGTGGTGGAAATGAGCTTCGATACCTAGAAGAAATTCATCCTAACTTATATCAATCGTTAGTTTTAGCCCCGATCGTTAGCCAGGCAAACATGTGCCATGCACTTGAACTTAATTCGTGGCCAGAGCAAACACAGATGTTATGCTTTCTGTTCTGTTCTGGCTAATGAGCGGAGTCTTGGGATTTCTCAGCTCTGTTTTTCCCACCATCAATTGAAGTCGCCGCCATGTGAATAACATTTAGTATTTAAGAATGCGCAAAAGTCTCATTTGAATCATAATTGTGCGGGCCAGCCAAGAGTGGTCCCAGCTAAGTTCTCTCAATCGTTCTGTAACTTAAAAACTATATTGTAATTAAAGCTAGCTTAGTGTAAGCAAGGAACTAAAGTTGTAACCCAACCGTAAGCAATAGATTTTTGCTTCCTCCCATAAGCACGTACTCCAAAAATTTGAACTTTTTCAATGCCATTTCGTTTGATTTGTTTCGCGTGTCTTAGAGCCACAAATTATTCAGCGTGTTCCGCGTGTCTTTCCACTCCAAATAGCCGACAAATTATTCCGGAATATCTTCGCCCAGCAGGCGGTATAAATCCATAAAGCGAAGAGGTCGCCGCGATAGTGCTTATCGGTTATCCCCTTTGGGGGCGAAAAATTACGTCTAAAGTGTCGTTAAACTTTGGATATGCAAACAAACTACTGATACACTTTATGGCAATAGCAAAGCAGACGCAGCAGACCCATGAATAACCGCTTAACGAGAGCGCTGGCCAAATATTTGCCCGGCCATAAAGCGTGTGACAATCCAAGAAGCCAGCGATGACGATTGCAGCCCGATCCGCCGAAGGTTTCCGCGTGGAAAACATGTTTATGCATATGAAAGCCGCCGCCACCGGCAAATTCTGATAAAGCTTCGGCGGCGAGATTATGCTGGAGAATATATAAATCCCGGCCAGGCCAGAACAGAGCACAGTTCAAATCGAGCGGCAATCCAAACCAATTCAACCCACTCCAAAGCAATTCCAAGAGCAACAATGAACCAAAAAGTATTTCTAGTCCTAGCTTTGACTCTATCCGTCTGCCAGGCGCTACCTTTTGTGTCCTACGATGATGTGGATGATACGGAGGTCATCGAGCTGCCGGGAAATGGCATCGAGGAGGCACCACCCACTCTCGGCAAGGACATCATCGATCTCACGCCGCTGGGAACGGCGCTCTTTGGCCAGCCGGATGAGCTGCAGACGGCCGATCGAGTGGGCAACTTTAGTGCCGATGCGGATGAAATGAATCCCGAGGAACTGGGCAGCTACCTGGAGGGTGATATGCTGGTGCCCCAGAGCGAACTGATCATGAAGAACGGACTGCCCACGCAATCCTCCCGCTGGCCTAATGGAGTGGTGCCCTACGAGATCCGGGGAAACTTCAATGCCCGTGACATGGCCACCATTGAAGGTGCAATCGCCGAGTATCATCGACGGACTTGCATTCGGTTTGTGAGGCGCAGCTCTGAGCGGGATTACATCTCCATTCGCGGCGACAACTCCGGCTGCTGGTCCTCCGTTGGTCGCGTGGGCGGCAAGCAGGAGGTCAATCTGCAATCGCCCGGCTGTCTCAGCCGTCCCGGAACCGCCATGCACGAGCTGATGCATGCCCTCGGTTTCCTCCACGAACAGAACCGCATGGAGCGCGATGGCTATGTGGCCATCCAGTACAACAATGTCCAGTCCTCGGCGATGAACAACTTCGAGAAGGCCGCCCGCACCGAGGCCTTTGGAGTGCCCTACGATTATGGCAGCGTGATGCACTACTCCAAGAATGCCTTCTCTATCAACGGACAGCCCACCATTCTAGCCATGGTAAAGGGATACCTAAAATTCATGAGGTTTCTTTCTAACAATCTTCATTTTATCCTATACAGCAAGCCAATGGAGCCGAAAAGATGGGCCAGAGGAATGGCTTCTCTGACTATGACGTCCAAAAGTTGAACCGCATGTACGACTGTGGAACTGCCCATGCTGCTCCAGTTTCCCCGGGTCTTCCTGCCGCTGGAGGAGCTGCTCCAGGTGCCGCTGCTGGCAGTGGCAATCCCATCGTGGACAGCTTCCTTGGCGGCCTGATCAGCGGATTGGGCCTGGGCGATGATGACAAGAAGGAGACCAGCTCTTAGAAAAACTTGGCCACAGAATCTACTAGCTCGTATGATCACACACGCTCGAAAATATTTAACGCATCCCACATACCAACCATCTAGCACCAATACTTGAATCTTTAGTTAATACGTTTAGTCCTTAATTAATAAAATCTAGAATGAATTGAGCATAAGACAGTTTTTATACCCGTTACTCGTAGAGTATGAACGCTGAGATCTCGGAAACTACAAAAGCTAGAAAGTTGGGATTTCCCATATATATTCTTGGGCTTCCTACGCAGCGCAAGTTTTTTTCAGCCGAGGGCCATGCCCCCTCTAACGCCCACAATCGCCTTAAACAATTTTGAAGGTGTCTGGCGTCCAAACCTTTATAGATTTCGGAAAAGTAAAAAGGCAGTTTTATTGTGTTTATTAATACGTATCGAAATGTAGAAGAAACTTTTCATAATGGACCATTCGTTAAAAACTTATGCGCGATTAAAGTCTTATATTTCCACCTCCCTCGCACTCCCTTCAGAGTAACGGGTATCTAATAGTCGGGGCATCCGACTATAGCATTCTCTATTGTTATAATAATCACGCATATGAAGTGTGCTTTTAAAATTTTATTTCATCCAGAATAAGTTGTAAATTTGAATTGTAACCGAAAAGGATGAATCATATGATTCTCAAAGGTAGATCTCAAACTAGGAAATGTTGCACATAAGAATATTTAAATGAAAACCGAAATTCTTTAGGCATCTGTGGTATGTTCCACTCCAAAATGAATGATCTACATGTTGCGCTTGGCGGCCAGGAGGCGGGAACGCGGCAGGCGGCACTGGCTGATGCTGTGGAGGCGGTACTGCATCTCCGGCTGCGTGACCTTCTCGTAGAGCTTCTTCTTGGCCTCGGTGACGGTGTGGACGAGCACCCCGTCGCCGCCCTCGTCCATGTTGAAGGCCTCGCCCTCGGCGCACTCCGGGCACTGTTGGGTGAGCACGATGTCATTGAGATCGGTGGGCAGTTCGCAGATCTTCTCGATCTGCTTCACGACATAGTCGAATTTGCCGTCCTCCTGACGCTCCATCACATAAACGCTGGCCGTCAGTTCCTGGACCCTCACCTCGAGGATCTTGAGGAACCGATTGACATTGACCAGATTGACGTGGGTGTGATCGCCCAGGAGCTTGGCCAGCGGACTGGCATCTATGGAACACATCTCGCAGATGGTTTCCATGCCCTGCAGTAGATTCTCCAGCCTGGCATCGTTGCTCTCGCGAGCCTTGTGCAGCTCCATGTTGGATTCCTGCTTGGCGCGCACCTTGTTCTCCAGACTGGCGATCTGATCCAACTGATCCTGCAGCGTATTCGAGTTGTCCTTCTTCAGGTTGACTATGTCCTCGAAAAGGCGATTCACCGAGTTGTTTAGCATCGTGATGTGATAGCTCATTTCGTTGGCATAGTTGAAGAACGAGTAGTAGAGACTCTCCTGCTGCTGGAACTTGTCGATCACCTCGTCCATGTTGTTGGAATCGGTGTACTGGAGGATCTTCTGCAGCACCGAGTTGTACAGATTGATCTTCTTGTTGTGCACCCGTCGGAATTCGTCCCTGCGCTTGTACTCCTTGGGCTGCAGATCGGCCAGTTCGCGGGGCTTGGATTTGCAGTTCAGGAAGGCGGAATTATCCCCATCGGCGGCCACCTTACGCATGATGCCCTGCATCTCCACACGCCGCAGATCCCGCTCCTTGGCCTCCCTTTTGGCCAACATGTCGATCTTCTCGTACACCTCGATGCAGCCATCAAAGGTGTTTAGGGCGTACTCGATCAGATCTATCAGATACTTCTTCTCGCTGTTCAGTTTCTGCACCATTTTGGTATAGGAATCGTTGAAGAAGGTGCGATGATTGAGGATTCTGATGAGTTGCTCCCGCAGCTCCGCATTGGCTGCCGTGAAACCGCACTCATGACGCACTCCCACCTCCAGGGAGTTCTCTAGAATGGTCATCCTCTTCCTAGCCTTCATCACATACGCCTGATGCTGCTGATCCGGAATGGTTAAACGGTTTAGGTTGTAGATCTGCTTGGCCATGCGACTAATCTCCTTTTCCATATTGAAAATGGACGTCTTCAGGGAGTTGATGTCCTGCGAGAGGTTCTCCTGGCACTCGACATGGCAGCGAATCAGCTCCAACCACCGGTTGTTCTGCTTCTTGTGCGTCGTTCCACTGGCCACCCAGATCTGGGCACGCAGGTCGTTCTTCTCCTCCTCCAGCTGATCGATGGCCGTCTCATAGCTCGCCTCGATAATTGTCTCCTTGCGCGTCTTGAGCTTGCTGGACAGGATCTTCTTGTACTCCCGCTGGCGCTTGCCCAGCTCCTTGTGCTTAAGGAGGTAGCTTTCCAGGAAGGCAAGCTTGTCGAACTTCTTGATTTCATCCATGACGAAGGTTCTCTTGAATGTGTAACCGAAAACTCAAAACAGAATTGTAGTATCGTATTTGGGTTTTTGTATCCGTAGTGTATTCACCAAATTTCCAAATGATATGAATTTTATTCCCATGCATACGTGAACTCCTTTGAAGTCAAGCCTCATTGCCTGCTCATTTAAACTTAAAAAAACTCTCCAAATAGTATTAAAATTCAAACTAATAATATAATTTATTAAAATCTTCAATGGGTAAAAATTGAATTGAATTTCTCACTGCTGAGAAATGCCGGAGCTTTCCATGGCCTGGAAAATCTTGAAAGAGGACCAGACATAAGCGGCACGACGCAAATCGTTGCACAACTCAAATTTGTTGGCCATCTGCTTGATCCCGAGAGCCGCGGATTCCATCACAGTCTGGAGAGCTGCATCCACGATGTCCGCCTCAGTGGTGCACTCGCGAATTTTCTTTAGTTTCTTATTGGGCTTGATATCAGGCTAAAGAGAAAAATATAATTTAAGTGATATATATGGTTTATTTAAGGATTGACCTACAAAGTTCTGATCGGGGCATTGTCGCAGGGACTCGTTTATCGAATTCATCAGTTCGATAATTAGTTCGCTTGTGGTCTTGGAGTTCATCTTGCCGTAGGACACATGATTAATGTTCTTTAGGTACTCAAAGTAGGATACGGTCACACCGCCCGCATTGCAATAGAGATCGGGTACCAGGAGCACACCCTTATCCAATAGGATCTTCTCACCAGCGGGTGTGGTGGGTCCATTGGCACCCTCCAGAATCAGCTTGGCCTTGATATCGTTGGCATTGTCGCTGGTAATCACCTTCTGGGTGGCGCAGGGCATAAGGATGTCGCACTGGGCCTTCAGCAGATCTTCCTTTGACTCCTCCGCCTTGGGGTAACCCTTAATCGTCTTCTTTTCCTCCTTGTATTCAAAGAGGTCCTATAACAAATACACCCAAAAAAATCGATATGAAACTTAGGTAGGTTTTACATTATTTAAGATCAATTTTAATTTGATATGGGGCCAGGTAAATTTCATTTCATCTAAAAACGATATGGGTTTTGCATGAGCTGAAATTTACATGGCCATATCGAATTTACGGTAACATGCTTTTTTTTGTGTTTTTAAAGCTTATCCTGAATAAAACTTGATATACAACTCACGTTGATATCGATGCCGTCCTTATTGAACAGGGAAACATCGAACTCCTTGATCCCGATGACCTTGCAACCCGCATCATGCACGAACTTGGCCGCAAAGGAGCCCACATTGCCAAAGCCCTGCACAATGGCCGTCTTGTCCTTCCAGCCCGTCTTCCACTTGATCAGATCCATCCACTCCTTGTCCTGCAGGAAGAGATCACCCGACTTCCACACACCTCTTCCTGTGGCCGAGTGACGTCCGTTGATGCCGCCAATGTGAACGGGCTTTCCGGTGACTATGGCCGAGGAATTGATGTCCTTGTAGCCAAAGGTCTTTTGGTACTGATCCACAATCCAGGCCATCTCGCGAGGACCCGTGTTCATATCGGGTGCCGGAACGTCAATGCCGGGACCTATCATGTTTCGCTTAAGCAGCTCCATCGTATAGCGACGTGTGATCGTCTGCAGCTCATCCACGGTATATTGCTTGGGATCGATGCACACTCCGCCCTTAGATCCACCGTATGGAAGATTTACGCAAGCGCACTTGAACGTCATAATAGCGGCGAGGGCCTTCACCTCGTGTGAATCAACGTCTAGGGCGTACCGGATTCCTTTAGATAGTGAGAAACTAAAATAGCTTACAAATAATATCTCAGTGTAGCTTAAATTGCACTAATATAGTTGAAAAATGTAAAAAGTATCTATTGTTTGTCTAAAACTGAATTTATGTAGAATAAATGCTGAACAATTCGCGTACATATAGTATACAATTTTCGTTGCTGAAGAAGTAGAAAACATTCGATGCTGAAGAATTCGCGTACGTAAAGTAGAAAACTTTTGATGCTGAAGAATTCGCGTATTTATTAAACACTTCTAAACTACAGTCTTCTTGACGAATATATATCTGATATATATAGAGATATACTCACCCCCTTTGAGGGGCAGTCGGTGGCGGACATGATGCGAGCGATAACCACTGATGATTTCGTATGTGCCATTCTTGCGCACAATGGGAAAATTAACCTCTACAGAAGTGGAGACGCTTCCGAGCAGGTTCAGAATAGCAGAGACTCGTGCCTGACGCTCCTCGGGCTTCATATGCGGATACTTTTCCATTTCCTTGACCAGGGCAGGCTCCATTGTCTGGGCGGCCTTATGGTAATAGTAGAGCACCATGGCCGAGAATTCGGGGTCCTTGTCCGTTTCGACCTTTTTTAGGTTCTCGGGTATCTGGTGCTCGTAGCGCACAGATATTTGTTTCGGGCTACGGAGTCGCATTCTGCCAAGAACTGTTGCCACATTGCGAATCATTTTAAGGAGAATTTGGATGCAGTAGCTGCGAACTAAATAACACTTTGCGAAGGTTCAAAAATATAATAATGCTTCTTGACCACTTTGAAGTATCGCCCAGAGAGAACTGAGATAGAGTCGGTGGTGTTGTATTTTCATATCGGTTTTCTTTTATTGTTTTTATCATTAGCAATGTTAATGGTAGCTTTAATATTACGATGTACGCTTGTATAAATACAATATTTTAGAATTGCTCTACAAATGTATGTGTATCTATGTATCAATATAACGTTATGTTTATGCGTGTAATACGTGGCTAAGCATCTACGAGCTAGACTTAAGTAGTTAATAGCTATACACAAGGTAATAAACATTTCTTGAACTGTCGACTAACGCACTAGGTAGCCTAACTAGGGGTAGCCTATAAGTATACATTTAATAGACGCTAACAAGAGTTCATCTCGGATTCATATCATGATGATGATCAACTATTGTGCCGTTTTACGTTTAAAACTTTTGGGATCGCACGGAAGCGCACAGAAGTACAGAAGTAAAAAAGGAGGCTTGGAAGTGGAAAACTTAGTTGTACCAGTAGCACAGATTACAGATTATACATAAATACTAGAGACCTACTTATATGCCATACACATCCTCATCGCTATATACATGCATGATTTTTTGTTTCGAAATGTTTCTGGTGCCCCGTGCGGGTAAAATGATTATGTAAGTATAACAAAATGTTGCGCTCTAATATCACTTTGGGGACACATGCTTTATGGCCTCTATCAACGTTCGATCCTCGCAGCAGACATCTACGGACTATGTGAGAACGAAGAAACATCATCGCATTGCACACAGAATTTCCAAATTTAATTCGCTTCATCTTCAACTGGTTCTCTTGCTCTAGATCGGCTTACTATCTAACTCTCAAGTATTTTAAATTAATTTCAAATTAATTCAAAAGTCTAATTTATACACGATAATTACAAGCAAATCGGTTTTGACAGGTTGGTGGGTGGGATTGTGGGGTTTGGGACTTCGGGGTGGGTTGGCCAACACTTTAATCTCGTAGCAAGATCGCAGATGGAGGAGGCTGCTGCTTAAAAGCTAACATCACGCTTGGTAAACAATAACGCTCGAAAGTATTTTGCGGTTGGTTGAGTACAATCCGTGGCTGGGAGCGGGTCTCCTGGAACTGCTCCCGATTCAGGCAGCTTCACCGCTGCTCTGCTGCTAATCCACATCCTTCTTCTCAATCTTAAGATCATACTTGGCCACCAGCTCCTCGGGGGTGTGCCTGTAAATGAAGAGAAAATCTATAAGTATTTCTTCCTTTTATTTAAGTTCTTTTAGAACTTACCCAACTAGATTCTGGAGATCACAGACAAAGCGGTAGACATATCGCTTGCCAGCCGTCTTGTGGATGATGTTCTTGTCATAATAGTAGCGCAGACCGCGACTCAGCTTCTCGTAGTTCATCTTGGGCTTGTTTTTGCGGATGCCCCAACGACGAGCCACCTAATAAAAACATACAAAAGTAAGTTAGATATTCAAAGAAAGGTTTATTTTAACAAACTCACCTCATCGGGATCGGTGAGCTTGAACTCCCAGCCATCGCCGGTCCACGAGATGAAGCTCTGGCACGTCTTGTCCAGCAGCAACTCGAGCAGGAATTGCCACAGCTGAATGGGACCCGATCCGGTGAAGCACGGCACTCCGCCCTGCGTCGTATAGCCGCCCAGCAGGCCCTTGTCTAGGCCCAAGGTGCTCATATAGGCCGCCGGATGCTGGTGGGCATGTGCCGCTCCCCATTGATCCATTGCCGAGGGCTGGGCGCCCATCGACTGGAAGGACTGGGCATCGTATGGCGTGAATTCCGGCGGATAGCTGTCGTGGAAACGACTCCGACCCGCATAGGTGGCATAAAACTCGGAGCTGCTGTCCATGTAGCCATTGCCTGTCCCGGTGCTGCCACCACTTGCTCCTCCTCCTCCGCTGCCATTGCCGCCACTCGATTGCTGACTCTGGTGATCCTGCGCCGAGATCGTGCTGTGATAGTCGCTCTCATCGCCACCGCCGCCCGAGCTGCCGCCGCCGCCGCCGCCCGTTGGCCCACTGCCACTCCCACCGCTGTAGGCGGCCAGGTGGGCGGGCAGGCCATAATTACTGAGATCCGTGGGATCGTTCTGGCTATTGCCGCCATAGCCAATGCTGCTGTTCTGGGTGCCCGGCTCCTCTTTCAGCTGATGTTGGTAGATCGCCGCCATGGTAGCCATGTAGTTGATATTGTTATTGTTATTATTGTTGTTATTGCTGCCCGCATTCGCATTGTTGTTGCTGCCGCTGTTCGTGTTGCTGTTGCTGCTGTTCGTATTGCTGCTGCTGGTGTTGTTGTTTTCGTTGTTGTTGTTCTGCTGGACAGCGGGCGGCAGCATGGAGCTGTTGTTGTTGTTGTTGCTGCTGCTGTTGTTGCTGCCGCTGCCATTGACAGTCGGCTGCTGCGATTGCTGCTGCTGCGGGGGCGGGCTGTTGTTGCTGCGGTCGTGTGTGTTGCTGGTGTTGTAGCCTGCAAGCGATAGAGAGGATAATTGGATTAGAATCGATATTGCAATGGATATGGGTGTTGCATCTGATAGTTTGTTGTCGTTAATCCACTTAAAAGATGTCATAATAATTTACGAAACGAAAGCAAATGGGTTATAAATGTAATCTCTTTTAAAACTCTATTGGGCAATACTTATTTTCTTAAGAAACTTAATTCTATAGAAATTTTTGGAATTTTTGTTGTTTTGTTTCATTGATAAACATTCTTAGAATTTGTTAATGTAACGGATTTTTTTCCTATTCAAGATAGAAAAAGCACTTGTTTTCTGAGAAAGCACAAAAGTCCGATAAAATAATATATTATAAGTTGTTCTTATTGTAACAGTTGATTAAAAATTAAATACTGTCTTTAAAACCCCTTAATAATAATTGAGAACGTATTAGGCCTTCTCATGAGAACTTTTTTATTTGCACCGTGAAAAGACCTAGATAGATTTTTTCACACGCTAAACACCCATTGATTATAGATTGTTCGCAATTTCAATTAAATGATGTTCATAGAAATGGGGCGTCTCTCAATCGAGCGAAAGACTTCGAAAACCAATCAAAATCACAGCGCACACACATACACGCGCTAGCAGCACACAGATACGCACGCATACAGACGTGACAACCCCAATCTAATGGTGTGCTCGCTACATTAATTGCGAATACAGCGAAATTTAACACATTTCGATGTACACTCGTGTTGTATCTGTGGGATACGAAAACCTGTTGGCACAGACCCACATACACATGCGCAGACCCTCAGGCCGTCCCTCTCGCACACAGCAAAGAAATAAAAAGCTTTCCCAGCGCTTCGTTTCGATTCCCATTCGCTCGCAGATACAAAGATACAGATACAGAGCCCCCCGTTGGCTGGCCAAAGAGTTGGCAGCGCCTCTTTAGGTGCCGCCTCCAGAGAGCGCGAGAGCATCCGCATCTTTCAGATACATCTGAGGCATCTTCTAACGCTCAACAAGCCACTTATCACCAGGTCAATCTGTTACACCCAGAGAAAAGTGCTAAAGTATGTTAAAAATATATCAAAAACCAAGCATTTTTGATGATATCATATAAAAATGGAACATATCATGGTCTAAAATATTAAGAATTTTTTACAGAATATATTCATTAAATTTTATATTGAAATTAAAATAAATTTTTGTTAAATTAATAGCCCAGAGTCTTAAGAGGTCTATCCTTCAATTCCATAAAATCAAAAAGGATTTAAAATTGAATTAAAAAACACTCAATTTGGAATAGTTTATTCGGAAATTCTTGTTATTTTTATTAAACCTTTTTTTAATAGCTTTGTAACAAACACTTGACTCAAATGTTCTTTACTTTTTTTCTCTGTGCGTAACCCTCCCTCCACCGACTTAGCCACCCTGACTTGTTGCGTGTCAAACACTTAAAAACAAATTACGAATTTAATTATGCCACCGCAACGCATCTTCTTCTGGTTTGCTGCCTTTTCACACCCCAGCAATCGTAATTAAAAGCACCGTTTTTGATGTCGGTAAATATTTGCTGACCTGTACCTGAGCTAAAGAAGTTGACATCCGAGTCCGTGTAGTACGAGTTGCCATCGCCGCCAAAGGGCGCCATGTCATTGAAGTACCCGAGTCCCAGGGAGGCGGCAGTGGAGCTGCTCAGGGCCCCCACCAAGTTATTGGTGGTGCTGCTCCCGCTCCCTGAAGCGAATCCCTGCGAGGAGGAGGCACTCGACGAGGAGCCACTCGAACTGGAGCCGGAGGAGGTGGTGGTGGTGCTGCCCGTACTGCCGCCGGATAATCGATGGTGGGGCAACTGGGGTGATCCGTACGATCCGTGGTTTGATTGCTGCTGGTGGGGATGTTGCTGCTGTTGCGGGAGTTGCAGGTGATGCGACTGCTGTTGCGCCGGCTGCTGCATCGTGTGATGATGCAGTCCGGGCTGCTGGCCCAACTGATGATGCGGATGACTGTGATGGCTGTGGTGGTGATGATGATGATGCTGGGCCAAATGGTAGCTCGGATAATTCTCGTAGCTCTGCAGGACCATGTTGAAGTTGGTCGCCGTGTGGCAATTGTTGTTGGAAAAGTGATTCTGATTATGATTCTGTTGCTGCTGCTGCTGCAGATGCTCCTGAAGCTGCTGCTCCTTATCGCTGTCCAAGGCGTTGGCGGCACTGATTATGCTGGCATTCACTAAAAACGCAGAGGGCGGCATTTCTTCGCTTCAAAATGATCGGTACTCAAAAACGGAAACTCCACCTCGCTGGTCAAAGTGCACGTCATTGACTCTAAACTAGGCAAATCTGCGGGATCAGCTCTCAATTGATAAAAACGTTGGTTTGTCCCCTTATGCTGGTGGTACTTGCAGTTGTATTAAAATTGATTTCACTTCACTTTGGTTTTCTGGTGGGGGAATATTTTAATTTTTGCACTGTCAGATGTGAGAGGGCCCAGAATATTTGGTTGTTTTGTGGTTTATGATTTTGGTTTTTCGGATGCGGGTCGGTGTGGGACCCAATCAAT